AACGATCATCTTAATAAACAGGACGACATCAGCGTGGAATAATAAAAGCAATGTAAATTTAGATATAAAAATAACAATAATAAAAGTAATGGATATTTTTATTCAGAAACGAAATTTTCCTTCAAACTGAGTGGAGTAATGCAATAAGGGCCCGTATATATAAATCTTTAATTGATATTAATGCAACAAAATCAGACCCAAATTTGGTAATTATTGGAACGACAGAATTTAGGAGATGTTGTCTATGAATACTTTGCTGACCGTGATCAAAAATTAAGTTGCTAAGCAAGGAAATTGTCAATAGCGAGCAGCACAAACACGGCTTCACGATCCTAGTAAAAGAGCAAAACGTTGAAAGACGTCAACTGAAAACAACACAATAAAAAATGTGTAAATGTTGCTCAGGAAGCAATACATGTAAAGTATTTTATTTAGTGACACAAATTAAACAAAGTCAGGAATAGAATATTGTTTTTTTTTTCTACAAATGTGAACCATTATAGCATGTGTACAATCATGTACAACCATGAAATTTACGTTTGTTCGCGTTCGGTGTGAATGTGAGAACTGCAGGTGTATGCTTGCATGCATCGCACGGGACTTAGCTTAGACGAGAGATGGTGGCGTGGCGAGAGCTGTGTCATTGCGACGCAGACCCAAACACTAAGCTTTATCCCCGCCCCTAATTAACGTTATTCTATTCTATTGAAAAAGGTGCTCATTAAAATTGCGAGTGCCATTACAAGAGCTGAAAGAGCGTTGACGAGCCTCGCTAATTATGCACAGTAGAGGAACGCGTTGTCGTCAAGTGCTAAGCCAGGGGGGGCCGAAACTGCCTTTCAGTCCTGATAGCAGTGAACCAAAATATTTCATACCATAATGTGCGGCGCAACATTTAAACATTTTTATTTCATTCTGTGACACTATTTGTAGGGGTTAACTAGCAGAAGTTCTTTGAATGACAACTGTGCACATTAGACTTGGGCCATTGACGGTGGACGCAATGCAGCAATTGAAATCATCCACCGAATCTTCACGTTCAAAATCAACGATCTATTCTTACTGCAAAAGAGGCGAGATGGGTATGCTCATGGTTGAATTAATACAGGTATGCCATTGTGCACTCATGGTAAATAATAACTGGACTGGCAGCTAACTTCGAATGTGAGACCTTCAGCATTATATAAAAGCCTTGGTCAGATTTCAATCTCTGCGGGAAGGATCACTTCCCGCGACAGTACCGAGGCTGTTTAAAGTCTTGCATAGGGGCGGAATAGCGAAACACATAGTAACGATACTATACGGATTTATATAATAATGCAATGTTAATAGGTTGCAGTGGATTTTGTCCGCTAACTGACTTTAAATTGGTCACTTATCTGCCCTTTTTCGAATCTCTTTTTTACTTGGACGTGACATTTCATCATGAAAATATGAAATTTATTGGCATTGTTTAACTGGTCGTTACCTACATTAGGAACAAGGAATGGTTACTTTTGGTGTGTATTCATCGTGGCAACACCCGAATACAATGTTTTTGAATTGACAGTTTCAAATAGGAGCTCAGTTTTTCCTAGGATAATATACCAATTATATCAATTAACTATACGCCAACATTGTTCTCCATGTATGGTTTCTGACTTATGATTTTTACCCTGACTGAACATTATCTATAGTTTCTGACTGAACATATAACTGTTCAATTCACCTGAAACGATGACTGAAAAAGTTTACACTTGAAGGCTACTCAGACCGAAATGCTTTACGTCTTTAGCATAAACAATAAAGTATTATTTTTTTATAATTGTAGTGTAAAGCTATACGGATTTTAAAAAATATCAATTTGATATAAAGATTTACAAAATAGCTTAAATTACTTCAAGCAGCTTGTCTCAAACTGAATGCCAACAAGGAATATTTCAATTTTTTTCAATTTCGTCAGATTGCATACAATATGAACTTTGGAAATAGAATCGTTCTGATTCGAATATTTATACATAATCCGTTTTCCAAAAAATTATTCTAAATATTCCAAAAGATTAAGCTGTAAGTGCTTGCTTATCACTTTTATATTAATGGATTAATTTCAGCTTCTTTGATGTGTTAATTAAATGTTACGCACTCTGCGTAGCAAAGATTGCCTGGTCCAATTAAAATGAGGACTGGGAGCAGTTTCAAAGAATATCCTGACCAGTTTCGCTCAAAGCCTTTAAGAATGAGCGAACTTCTTTTATGGCCACATAATTAATTTTTTACTGTCAGAATCATGAATCCGCCTGCCTTGCCGCTAAAATGAACCCTAGTGAATGGTTTCCTTTTATTTCACGAAAAGTTAATTACTCAAGTCTAATAATGAATTAAAACAAAAAGGCAAGAAGCCTGAGTGCGAGAAATAAGGGTGCTGGGAGCTTTTAAGGCAGCCAACAATGAAATGTTAGGAAATTTCCTTGGCGAAAAATTGATCGCTGGGGCAGCTGTGGAATTGAATTCTTGCAATAACCGCTTGATTGAATTGCATCATATTAAAGTCTTTACGCCATCTAAATGTGTAAAAGCAGATTTTTAGAATCAACAAATTTTTGGGATACTAGAAAGATAGAAACTTTCTTGAGTAATACAATTAAATTGGGGCGCGTTTTTCGATAATAATAATAGTTCATGTTTCAAATACATACGATCAAAGGAGCGTTTCTCCAAAATTAATGCTAACATTGAAAATCTCGATTTAAGTTATGTTATGAGAAAATTCCTTTGATTGTGAGTAATCCGATATTAATTTCAGTGAATCACAATAAGCTTCTCAAGACTCCCAATGAATAACTACCAGTGGACAATAGTCGATATTGTCATAAGAAGCTGCTACTGATGGGAGCTGAAATTAAATTCGACGGAAATTGGACCATTTTTTGACAAGACTTCCAATTAAAATTTACTTCATTCACTAACAGCAAACTCACAGTGGCTAAATAACAAACTCGTCCGTTTTGATGCAAATTGACAAGCATTGATGATGATTGCCCTCACTACCCGCAAGCAGACCATGCAAAACAAACTATACAATATATACATCAGTGCCATCACACTTTCGTGACCACCACATACTCCAGTCTGTGAATTCTGATCTATTATCGGCTACACAAGCCACTGCGTTGGTCGGACCACATCTGGAAATCAACTTACAAACAGCAAACAAGATCGCAACTGGCCGCGCCATGCAGCAACCACGTCATCAGCATGCGCATGAAATTCGGTGAGCTTCTCAGCTGAGATCAGAAGACGCATTACCTTGTCAAACACTGGACGTGATTGCTGGTCGGGATGGCATTGCAACGTAAAGCCGTGGCAGCAACACTGGCAACTGATAAGTTTCATCAGGGGATGGATTTTACATCGGTTAAATCGAAAGGATTCATCAAAAGATAGTTTGTACACTGGTCCGAGGGAGCGGATTCATCAAAGGATGGAATTTGCACTTATACGATTGAGAGACATCATCAGAGGAGGGTTATTAACACTGGAAAAACGAGAGGATTCGTCAAAAGATGGTTTTTACTCTAATACAAATGAATGGATTCATCAGAGTATGGTTTTTCCACTGGTATGAACGAGAGATAGGGTTTATCAGAGAATTGTTTTACTAGGGTGTGATCGAAAGGATCCATCGAAGGATGGTTTTGATACTGGTACGATCGAGAATAGTCCATCAGAGGATGTAAAGTCGTGGTTTCACGTGTCTTAGGTCTTCATTTAATAAGCAGTGGAAGTGTCTTGGGGTTTCATATAATTAAAAGTGAATGTGTCTTAGGCCTTCATGTAATAAGCAGTTTGGAAGGGTCTTAGGGTTTCATATAATTAACAGTAAATGTGTCTTAGGGCTTTATGTAATAAGCAGCGGAAGTGTCTTAAGGTTTCATATAATTAACAGTGAATGTGTCTTAGGCCTTCATGTAATAAGCAGTTCGGAAGTGTCTTAGGGTTTCATATAATTAACAGTGAATGTGTCTTAGGTCTTCATTTAATAAGCAGTGAAAGTGTCTTAGGGTTTCATATAATTAACAGTGAATGTGTCTTAGGGTCTCATGTAATAAGCAGCGGAAGTTGCTTAGGGCTTCATGCAATAATCCGCAAGACAAAGCCGTGCAGAATCCCGCCCACGCCGTCCGTTAAAGCTATCGCAGGATACAGCGTCAGGATAACGAGATCCGCGCTTCCTGGTTGGCTGCGGCCAGAACAAGAGGAGAGCCAGCGCTGTAATGGAGCATCTCGTGACGTATTGCTTCGCTAATGGGCTTCTGCAACCATTTCTTTTATACAACTCCTGATCAATGGAAGCTTTTGCCTGACTTATCGTGCTAAGGATCTCGCCATAGGAAGTGCCTGGCTAGTAAAAGTCTTGGAATAATTAGGCAAAAAGTGCCCGATCTGTACGAGGATAATGATATGGATGTCGACTCCATCTTTCATGTTGCTAGATGAGGAACAAAGTTCTATTAATTCTTGTCAGGATTATTTCTTAGTTATCAGTGCCTAGCGGTCCTGTGCTAATTTTGTTATTTATTTCCTAGATGGAAGTATCCGGTAAGATAGAATTTGTCAGTATTAGGTTAATGTAACGAACATATTTTCATATGACGGAAATAACGGATGCTGCCTGTAGTAGGATTGTTTTGAATTAATAATAAATTCGAAATTATATTAAAGACTATTATAATTTTTTTCCAGACAATTTATTCGACTGTGCATTTAGAATTATCACAAATTCCTCATTGTATGCTCTCAGATTTAGTTGTATTATTAGGTTAAATTATAAAAGCAGGGGCTTTAAAAATTCCAGACTATTCTCGTTTCCTTTATTATTCCCTGCACATACTGCATAAAAGAAATAACTCGAAAACCATTCTTCAACTTCTCAAGTATTTTCGTGTAAAAAATCAAGAAGTTGAGTAAAGAATGTTTTTGTCTGTTGGCTGTTTTCTAATATTATTGTTTTCGCTTTCCAGGGCAATGACGGAGACCGTAAACATCTCAGCTATCCTGGACTCCCTGCAGACAGGATACGATAAGAGAGTGCGACCAAATTATGGAGGTGAGCTAATTTAATCTACACAACATCTTCATCATGAGCACCAAGTCTGACAAATAACATTGAAAAGAAAATCGTTGAGCCCGAAATCTTTAAGACTATATTCAGCCGGTGATGAGACAGCATCATATACAAATTTCCCTGAGTAGAATCAATTCACCCTAAGAATCCCTAAAATCTTAAAGAAAATTTTGGGCGGATAAATATCACCGAGATTATTATTGTTATTGAGAAAACATTCCCTTTATTAAACCGCGGTCAGTCGCAAGCGATGTCATGATTAAATTAAACTCCTATGATTAGTTAAAACACGTTTCTTAATGGCGGCCAAAATCATATTTCCTCGATGAAAAATTAGCTTCTAGGAAGACATAGTCAGCAAATGACGTTTAATGTCCCTCTTATTAGTATTAGAGTCACGGAGAATACTAGAAAGCCTTCCTCTAAATACAGAAAGAACGAACCTCCAATTCCTCGCTGGCAAACGTCCAGCTGAACCCTCCGCGTCGTGCCGGCCTTGTAGCTCCAGAAATAAAACACGTTATTTTTCAGCACTTCCCACGTGCTTCCGTAACAAATATTTTAATTTGTCTGAATTGCTAACAATTTGCATCAACACGGATTGTGTTGATAATTTACATAAGAGTATGGGGAGATAATGAGGGAGATAATGTTGATAATGAGGTCAAACGTGAATATTTTAAATGTGATCGCCACAACTGCATCATATGTTGATCGTTAATCACAAAGATTTTATGCCTATACATCCTACAAAATTATGATTAAATTAAAACATGATCTCTGACGATGTTTCTTCGCCAATGTTTCCATTATCGTCCATTACGCTGCATTCATTCCAATAAATAATTGCATTATCTCCAAAAGGAAGCTTTTGTACATCGTAAGTATAATGTTTATTTGTGTTTACAAAAATGCATTTAATTGCATTCTTCTTGCTCTCTGTCTTTCCAAATATTTAAATCTATCATCATGACTTATGACCATTACTGAGTGTCTGGAATTCTTACACGAATATAATGCGTTATTTTCCATTGTTTATTCCGAAGAAAAGTTCTTTAAATAAGTCAAAATTAAACATTTTCGTTTATTGTGGCATTTTTACTGACACTGTGACGATTATCTATCTCCCTTACTTTGAAAACCTGATGGATTATTTGAAAATTTAATCATTAATAATCATATTATTATTTGTTATACATAATTAATCAAATTATTCAAACATTTATATCATCCTGATTTCAAAATGTATATTTATTGTACTGTTAATTCTTGCCGTGTAAATTTTCCATTATAATTGTTGAAAGAAATTAATCCAACTTACAAATTTACCCAATTTTGCCTAAAATAAAAATTATATGGGATGTTTAATTATAAACATGTATTTAATGATGAGGAATATTTCAGGAATAATTAAGTCTGTGGAAGTTTTGATTTCAGACGCTCATGCCTGGTCATTTTTTCTATCACAATAATAATAATATAATAATGGCGACCCCTATTTTCGAGCCGCCATACGAGGCAAATACAGGCTTGAGACCAACAATTATTTAACGACTTATTCACAAAATATAAGTAATTTTACGCGGTCAACTTCCTTCTACTACTGCATAAAATAGACTGAATTTGTTGTCTAAACATGAAATTTCGAAAAAAATTCTGTCTAGGTTTGTAGGTTTGAATCACAGCTGTTGACGAGAAAGACTCAGAAATTAACACCCAAAAAGTAACATTCAGAAAGCAACATTCAGAAAGCAACACTCAGAAAGCAACACTCAAAAAGTAACACTTTAATACTGAGAAAGTAATACTAATATGATAACACAGAGAATTTAATACTGAGAAAGTAATGCTGATATGACAGCACACAGACGGCAACTCTATACAGGTGTAGCAACACAGAATATATGAGACTCTTCAATTAACACAGCAATATATGAGACACAATTAACACAATTCATACATTGATGATATCACAGTATATAGGCTACTAATAAAAGTCACACAGTGCAGATAGCACATCACACATAACACTGATGTGATATCACATAAGAGGCCACAATGATACACAATAGTTTCTAAACGAAACAAAACAATATATATATATATATATATAACAGGGTAATACCATTGCAAATCTACTTTGAAAAATTATGATTGAGTTTGAATTTGCTCGCTCACAAAATGTTCTCAAATATTTTGGGCTGACCTCATGAATTGTCAGGATTTAACGTACATCTCTCAGCGTTTTCATCTTGAATGTGTGTGTAATACATTAACCTGACTTCAATTTCATAAAAATATTAACAACACTACGAGGAAAAATTGTTATTGCATGACAAATTTCTTTCGAGATCAAACATCCTACGACAAATAAATGCGCATATAATAAAGTGGGCTTTGGCTTCAATATTCATCTGCCAAAAAACGTTACCTGCCAAAACATAACTCATTTATTTCAAATTTTAGGCTCGTAAAATGTGTTCAGTTATCTTTTGAAGAAGCTTCAGTGAAACTGCTTCGTCGGAACACCATTTCGGTAGCTTTCCTTGGATTTGCAGTGCCCTATTTGAGGGCGATTTTTTATAATTTTTCCGCCCCACAAAATATGATGATATTTACTTAAATTTAGACGGAGCTTTACATCGTTTGGCTAAAAAAACGCAGCATTTTAATTCAAATCCCGTAGCGTAGTAAGATTTTCCGACGCATCATTAAAATGGCACTGATTTTTAAATATTTCAAGTAATTATTTGCATTGTGAGCAAATTATCATTGCTGTTGGGTGCACTGAAACCTTCAGAAGTGTGTTAAAGAGAATTGTGTATTTGGAGAAAAAGAAATAAATGGTAGAATTTAGCTCCAGTTTGCCTAGTCAATGTCATAAGTAATTTCTTTCCAAATTTGAGAATGATACATAATACAGATATTATTTTAAAGAATGATCTATCAATTTTTATCTCAATGTTATTTTTAACTCGTGTTTCGTGTTCTTGTACCTATACTACAAAGGGAAATAGCTGATATTCTCCGTCAATATTCGTGCACTCCATAGTATTTTTAGAAAAATAATAGTTGTACTCCTCGCTCGCAAGCGCAGACTGGAGACTCAAAAAGCCGATGCTTGATAAAGTGAGAGCTCCATGAATGAATTTTCATCTAGAAAATTGAAATCTATGTAAAATACTTTACCTTACTTTATATTATTATGTTAAGTCTCACTATGAATCTAGTTAAAATTTTGGATCAGAAGACGAAATTCTCTCAGTCGCAGAATAATGTATCAAGACGAAATTCTCTCAGTCGCAAAATAATGTATCAAGTCAATCAGAATAGTGACAATTGAGAATTCTTGAAGAAAAAATCCTTTGATGTAGAAGAAAAATATATGGATGACGCAGGCGCAGGCATCGTTTGTCGACAGCCAGGCATTAGCTTACAGCGATACGGGGTAAAATCGCGACCCAAGAGCCCAAAAGTAAGTTACCGTCGGCCACCGTCAGCGTTTTTTGAGCTGACAGTGGCAAAATTACTGCCGCCCGACTGCCGGCTAGGCCTTGCGGGTCCAAAAATACCAAGAATGTCCGCTAAAATGAGCAATAAGAATATCGACAGGTTCTAAAAATGCAACGTTGGTGGACGTTGGAGCGGCTCTCTGGCAGGATACATGCAGGTATGAGACATCTTTTGATTAAAATAACCAGTGCGTAAGAAAATTTTAATCACAAGGTTGGTCAGTGCAAGTCTTCGCGTCAATAACATCCTGTTAAGTGTCATTCGTTTAAAAATTTCTTTACTGTCATAACACGCAATCAAGTAAATCGTTCTTTGAAACTCAAGTTTTCAATGCTTGCAACCTTCTTTTTGCGAGTAGTAAATGTTTCTCAATCCAATATTGATTCTTCCAATATCTAACTTCGAATCCTCTAGTTGCCAAACATGGGGCTTGAACAGGTCATAATACACCAAGATTTATTTTCTACGAGACTCTAGATATATAAAACATAAAACATCAACAGAGACACATAGATATTACTTAGTCATAAAAAACTACGATCAATTTCATTATCGACACACAAAAGGCTAGGATTAACCGAAAGCAATAGTGTACTGTATAGGATAATTAGTTGTTCATGGATATATGTGTTTTCACATACACACGAAAAATCGATGTATTAAAATGTACGAATAATAATTTATTTCTATCCTCCATACAATCCATACAAATTAATCTTTCTCGTCAACCGCTGTTGTAAAAAAATCAGCGCTTTAGCTCCCATTAAAAATTTTTCACAGCAAATTTTTAACGAAAAATAAGTAACGTGTAAGTGTAACCCAAAAAGATGCTGTAAAATTCCGCCAGCTAATTTGTATCGATTAGAATTATTAATCTATTTAGTTTTAAAGATCATAAATTATATACTTTTGTATGAAACTGTAAACTGATTATATCATTTTCTGTCAATGTTTTCGAATTTTTAATTTCATATTGTGTTGTAGAATATACAACAAAATGTACAATATAAAAAATTCTGTTAAAACAGGTTAAACAAAATTTGCGAGCATGTCACAATGAAAATCAATGAAATCTGTCAACTAATAAAAACAAATGAACCTCCATAGCATGTTAACATGTTTCTGAGAATAATATCTCATAAAAATTTATTTATTGTCACTTCATGATTAATTCATTTGACTACACCGCGTATCACAATGAGGTGAACATGTTTCTCAAGCGTTCGGTCAAGTCATACATAAAGCAATAAAAATTTCTAATTGCACTTGATTTAAATTAAAAGCATATATAATTTTTCAATCAGAAGACCATTGTATTAATTAAATTTTAACATTGTAGATATTTTTCTGTGTAATGAATAACCTGTTTTGATGACCAATTAGATGCTGAAATTCGTGGCCCTCGTGGCTGTTGTCTTTTCAGGGGCGCACGTTGACGTCGGTATAACGATGCATATTCTCAGTATTAGCTCGCTCTCTGAAGTCCAAATGGTACTTACATCTTTTCGTATTCAGAGCAGTACAGTAAGACATTAGTTTTAAGGTGCCTCCATATGCGGGTTTCTTTCGTGGTCTTCTGAAGAATTAATATTACATTCTATTAGTAATGTTAGTTTGTAAAACAGTAAATGAAGTACGCAACTATTATGAAGACTTTTGATTATAAAATTTCATCTAATCCGACAAACTTTTTGATATATCAAAATTGCATTTCATTCATTTGGTTTTATAAAAATTTGGTAATTAATTATTATTCATTTAGTGTTCTTCCAATTACTCTCTATTCAAAATGAGAAGATCTTTTTAGTATTTTGGTAAGGTGATATTGTCATCAGGTGATGGCAATAATTTAATTCTCAAATAATATTTCCGCAAACGAGAATTTTCACTGTGAAAATGTTCATGTTTCCTGATCACCATTCAATTCACTCACGTAATTGACGAAAGTTGATGGACACATGAGCGTTCGCCAGGAGACCACGAGGCGGGTCGTGTACGGAGGCGCGAAGCAGTCGCCACTTCTGACAAAATTATGCAACGCGAGAATTATCTCGAAGCACATACTACATTAAAATAATGAATTATAGTCCATATAATTTTATAGTATAAAATATTCCCCCTATCTTTCGTTCAAATTGAGAGAAAATTTAAATTGTTAATCCCAAAACTATCATTAAAGTTATTTTCTACTGAAAAACAAATTTTGAATGAACCATTATACGTCTTGATGCGACATAATCTTTCAGAAGTTGACGAGTTTCGCAAGTGACCCACTAAAGGCAATAAAAATACACTTGCCTTCTCTGGGAAGATCGATCTCTTGATGGAAATGCAAGAAAACTTTGAACATACACGACAATATTTTCTGGCAACTACTTCTGGTTTACTTCTTTATCCGCTCGACACGCCTTCACTTTTTAAATCTCTTTCACAGCGTTGCTTGCATTCCCATAAGCTGATCACGATGAAGTGGTTCTCCGTTCCTATTTGATATCAATTTGCTTCGGTGTTGATTTTAAATCAAATTTCTTTCAGTTGTTCAACAATAATGAATCGTTGAGCGCTAATACGGCGCTGACATGAACCGAAGACCACTTCGGATTTTTGAAATTTTTTGGGATGATCCACCGTTCCTGTTGTAGAAGGCTTCCTCTCCTAAGACATCGTTCACGTCCCATTTAATTATTATATTCCATTTTAAATGTCAATGCAATTACCAGTTCATTCTGAATTTTGTGTTTTTATCCATGAATGTGACTTTTAAGTGTCCCCTCTTGCTCTGTGACAGGCATCAGCGAATGAAGCCTTTACTGTTCAGGAAATTATGGTTCAACCATTGAATTTCGTGTGATTTTTTGTGCATTTGTCAAATTCAAGTCCTTGTGACTCTAGCTATCGAATTGGGTTGTTTTTTACAGGTCAGCCCGTGATTGTCGGAGTAACGATGCACATTCTGAGCATCAGCTCCGTGTCTGAAGTTCTCATGGTATATGCCAAATACAGCACCAATATTAAATAAATTTAATATGTGGCGACCATGCAATGTCGTGCTGATACCCTCACGAAGTAAAGCATCGGTTTATTGAAGGCATTTTCTCACATGTAATTTAACACATATAGCTGAAGGCATAGCTTTTTTTGCGCTCTGATAATGCAAAATAATTTTTAACATGGTATTGAGAATCGGTGTCTTCCATAAACTGATTACTTTGCTAGTCCCCGTATCATTTTTGTGCTTTATTCAGCCTTAGTCAATTGCAATCCCATCCTTTTCAACCCACCTTTTGCCACTATGCCACCAAGACCACTGCCATCTTTTGTTTCTTCCACCACCACCATTCCCACCAATGTTTTCCGCCACAAATACTCTCACCACCTTCGTCGTCTGCTCACCATTCCCACCACTTTGTCACCACACAACCTGTGCAACACGACACAGTAACAGCCATGCATGCTTACAACCACCAGGGGTATGTCCTCTTGCCTCGGTTAACGAGTATTGGAAGACGGCCCTAGAGACCGTGTAATACAAACATCGTAGGTTTACAGCAGTTTTATGCACAGTGCACAGCTTGCTTTGCGTGCTGAAGAAAATTCGTCTTGTGCTCACTTACATTGTCTTGGCAGATTTTATCTTCTTTTTGGCACTGTTATTACTTGAGGTTTAAAGTCTGGACTAACTGCTAAAGTATTGTTTCAAAAAGGCGAATTTCCCTTAAAGAGAAATATCGATCTTGGTCATTAAAGTACAAATATCAGAAAAAAAATTTATATGTTAACGAAATAGAATGTCAAAGATATGTTTTTCAATTGTGTCACCTTAAGCAAAATCGAAAACTTTGTCTCAAGTGTCACACGCATTGCTCACATTAAATTACGACTTTTTAACACCTACACATTGATTATCATAATGCTGCATAATTATCAAACACATTTCCTTTATATAAAAAGCGTTGTTAATCTATAAACGGTTGAGCTCACGAATTAATATGTAAAGAAAGTGGGTAGAAAATCCACGGGCTTCGTAAAATTTTTCCACATATGTTATGTTTTTGTTTTCATGCACTCAATTGCATCATTATGTGCCGTAAAGTAAACTAATTGATAAACACTTATTCTGTACAACTGCTGAACACAACTGCGACAGGCTCAAAAGGCAACTAACTTTGCTGCTTCTAACTACTGTCACTTAACCTTCCCGTCTGAAATACTAGATGACATAGCATACAAATGCATTCTTCTAATACTTTACTTTCTTTCTGGACATGACGTGAAACACCGGTTCTTCCTGTACTATCTTCTTTTTTGTAGTGAGTTACTTGAGTTTATTTTTAATTCTGATTCGGGCGATTTTAACCTAGGATGATACTCTATGCTACTCATATGGTGATCTTAATAATATTCAAATTATTATCATCTTGATCGTTATTGCTTCTTTTTACTACTCCTACTAAAGCACTCACCGTTGACTAGTCGATGAGAAGGTAAGGCCCATCTTCTGTACATCAGTCCTGGAAGTCAATATCTGATTTTAAAAAAACTGTCGTTATGTCACTTGAAACTCGTGACTACTGCAAAGGCTCGACACCAACCATATTTCTGGGTAATCTTTGCCATCAATATAATGTATGATATTTATTTCAGTCTATTGTAATTCAGTCTATTGCTTACACATCTGTGAGCAAAAATTACTAGCTTACCCTTCCATAATTCTTGGAGAATCGTTCGGAATTTGCATGTCATAAAGCGATTTATTACTTATGGAGCCTGGCTTAACAATTTTCGAAGATATAAAATAAATTTCGTTTTTGCTCGAGGTGGCTGGAAAGAACTAGCTGTGTGATGGCTGCTGTGCCCACCCATGTTCTATGCGAATGCATCTGCCTAGATCCTGAATTGTGCTCCATATTCAGTTACAATTTGCACGTTATAGCTCGTTGGCCTTTATTGGTAAAATACTAATTGTCCTACAGTTATGATATAATCCCTTGGTTATCTATTTGAATATCTTATGTCAAACCAAACATTAATCAGCGGTAGAGATAAAACAAATGTGAAACGCGTTTCTTAAACTCTGGAAAATTCGATCTATTGTTACAACAAGGCTGCGTGGACATTGCAATAGGAGTAAAATGAAAACTCCATTTTCATAAGGTCCCATAATGACCTTGCACAGATTCAACGCCTGTTTTTCCTCCCATCTACGTACGCTAATTTATGCCTTAGCACATCAGGTAAATAAATTTTTAAATGAACGAGCAACGCACAATTTCTCTACAACACATCTCTCAGTGACATAAGTTCAATTAAAAACAGCTCAGTTCTTTACTGAAAGCTTCTAAATTAGCGTCTGCAACTTAATGATCACTTTTGGTTTAGTGAAAAAATGAAAATTTTTTATTTATTTGATAGGCAGCTGTTGAAATTATTTATAAGCGTTAACTTCATGTTGAATTGTAGCCATATCGTGTGATGAGTGTGAGTAGTGACCGTAGAATTTTTTGTTTCAACCGTTTCAATGAATATTCCTTTTCACGTTTTGAATTAATAGAAATGAGTTTTAAACGAAGTAGCTCTTCTTCCTCAACTATTGCTAATTCATGTCAACATAGACATTATTCACGACACAAAAATGTAATTAAAAATTCCGCTCTCGGTAATTAAGAAATTTTCATGCTTGCGTTAAATAAAAAATCTTGCTAAAAATTTTTATCTTAAATAATTGTTTTAATCCATAATTCAAGCGTCCATGTAGGTCGCCGTCCGAAAACAAGCGCAATAAAAAAAACTCTGTCTTAGGCTTGGCCTCACAACTTCTCGCGCAAAAATAGCGTTTCGTTTACAGTGAAAATGTCTATGTCGCTATAGACCGATGACCGAACCTCTTTCTCTGCCCTGTCTTTTCTCAGTAGCTCATAAGCCGATCGTAAGTCTAACACATCAATAAAAGATGACCGTAACTCAAATCTTATCTGTCCTTCAAGCTAAAAATGATTCAGGCTCAGCCAGGTTTTTACTCGCAACTCCTCAACTCAACCAAGAAGATTTTTTGCATCGAACACAAAAGTTAATCTCAAATTGTGGATCCAATCCTTATCCTTGGCTCGAAATCCCTACATCCTGATCCCGTTTTAATTGGTAGCTTGAATTTTTCAACTATTTTATTGATCAGATTATTCTTTGTATGAATTCCGTTCACATTCAAAGAAACAACTTCTACATTAATCCTATAACGCCCAATTACGGGTCATCCTTCACTTTTTTTGATTAGATTAAAGAACCAATTACATTACATTAATTATCCAAATTAACATTTATAATCCGTCAGCTTAATATTGATCAAGAATAACGTTTCATATTCCTGTGTAACTCTGCTGATCCTCTAAGTAATAGTCAAATAGATGAAAAAAATTTCAGGATCGTTATTAGTGCAGTTTGAGTAAAAAGCATCGAAACCTAGACTTTCCATCAATTTTCATTGTACCTCAATTGAAGGGAAACAATGTTCAAATTTTTTCCGAAATTATCATGAACTTAATTAGAATCCAATTAATCAAACACGAGCTTGAAAACTTACGACTACCGTAACTTCTGTAAACTCTTGTGTGCTGCAGCTTCCTCTCGCTACCTGACTCTTCTCTTTATAAATTTCATTTTCACTTGCCTCCAGTACCGCTTATTGCATTTTGCCCTGGACATACAGTGTTAAAACGTAGATACAAATTCATTTGAAGCAACTGAAGTTCACAAAAATAATTATGAATTAAATAAAATTCCTTTTTGGACTAATTCAGCAAAATTATATTTTCCCATTGAAGAAGGGACAGTAGTTAACTGAGTCTCGGCATATTACTGCTTTTTATTTTCGCACATTGATGTTGTTATCGGTGGGAAGGCTCTTATAGACCTCGCCTGCATGCCACTTTTATTTTGTAGCGAGCCACACGCGTTTTGTCCATCGATTTCTTGCAAAAAATGCGTTCTGAACGCTGTGGTCGTTTGGTGGTATATCGTCTACGGGAGCGCACCTATTATAAAGGCACTGAGCTGCACCATAGCAAGCTTCCAACACTTTGTTATCGTCACGTTAATCGTTAGTAATTTGGCGTCACTGATTCACACTGGAACAAATCTGGCTTAACACGAACTGCTGAATCTGCGTAAATAAAATACAATATTTGCAATTTTAAATAATTTTCCGTGCGACAAATTGAAGAGCAAATTCATAAGAACTTCTGCATTGGATTTTAATTTGTTTTGGTTATTCTTAGTATTATTTGATCGATGTTGTCTGTATATCAGGATCAGTTTCCATGAGACCTTCCATTGTACTCTGATTGTGATCTGGAGAATGTCTTTCGTCCCTCAAACAATCATTATTTCAAATTGTTTCAGCAATAATCCCTTGGCTGAATCTTTGTATATCTTGTTAACTTTTCTAAAGTCAAATAAACTAGAAGGACTCCCCAGGTCTCAATTTAGTTCAAATTTTGGATTTTTGTCGTTTAATTAAAGAGAAGGAAATCCTGCATGCTTGCATAGCAGCGACTGCTCAAAATTCGAGTCTTCATTAGTTCAAAGTTGCGAAATTATTTTATATTATTTCGCAAATTTTAAAAATTGAAGCTCATGTGTTTCTCTACTAGCTAGAAATTATTTTTTGTCTCGGAAACTATTTAAGTGAGCATATAATTCATTATTAACAAATATTTTACAAGGATTTTGGGTGAAAAATATTTGAATCTTGAGCTTTTTATGTTTAAAATGAATGGTTCAAGGTGTTATTTAAAATAAATAAATTCGTTATCAATATCAACATTATCATTATCAGCTCTCGGAACATCATTTGTGCATCTTCATCTAAAATATGCATCGCTGGTTTCCCTATAAAGCTCTTGCCATGAGCATGGCTTAGTGTCGCTGCTTCACTGACTATTACCCCCATACTAATGCTTGATAGTAGAGGGATCCTCTTGCATAAACATGTACTGCCTTGCTTCACTAAAATATGGCAAGTGTAAAGCTTGAGAATGGATGTGGCTGTAGTTTAACAAGTACCATCAGAGGTCCTGAGCTGCAGACGATACCCAGAAATATGTGGCCGGTGTTGTTGTGCCTTTTGCAGGGTAAAGGGGCATTTACAGCAGCTACCAACTCTGGCAGAGCCGCCGCTTTAAGTAGTAAATCAGGAGGTGGAGACTCGGACGATGGCGGCGGAGAACCCAGCCAGGTGCGACACCGGGTTTTTAAATAAAAACGTCAAATCTTTAGATAACCCATTAATTTCTATACATCATGTACCGCGTAATAACAATTTACAAAGATGTAATTATTGCTTTTAAATCATTAATTATCTCATAATAATTCCACAGACTGAGTGAAGGAAATAAATAATCAACAATGATCTGTTTTGACTCTTCCGTTAAATAATTTAGATATGACTGCAGGTAGGTGATCCTATTGTGGTACATTCAACAGCCAAATAAAACCCTTCCTGTCATTAAATAGATTTTCCTTACAGATTTGAAAAAGATGAACGTTCTCACAACAAAAAATGCGAGCAACAACTGTTTTTTTTTCGAGCAAACAGAAGCCCACGTTAAAATTAAAAGTCATTATCGAAAAAACTTCCGAAGCCGAAAATTCGTAGTACGATTAATGGGTTCCTGTTTTATTTCGTGTTTTCGTCTTAGATGTGCAGGGGCTGCTCGATTAAGTCCAGTCAATGATTTGTCAATGTCAAAACTCGATGAGTCTGCACAAATACAGCATTTATAGCCATTCCTGTAATTGATACAATATGTTGTAATCAGTATTGGCTTCCCGGATTAAAACGTGTTGATGGATAAGCAATGAACAATGTATACGTTCAAAAAAAATCTAGTAGCGAATATGTTTGTGGTTAGGTTAACATCTGGTCATTTTGTATAATTTCTTTACTTACTCTTTTGATGCTTTCTGAAACGGGCTTCAGGAAAATGATATTTCTTTTTCGATGCATAATTCTATGAGCTATAGAGGAACCTATTCTTCCATGCTTTATATGCATTATCTTACCATACTGCGACTGACTGAACTGCATACTCAAGACGAACTCTTCCATGTAATCTGTCACACATTTCAACTTTTCAAAGCACCGACTTCGGGAATAAGATTTCCATGAAGTCGACAAAATGCACTGTATTCTATGGGACAAAATTAACCTATTGTCTCTTAATTTAAAAGTGTATTCCTCGTTTAGAAACTTGTTAATCAAAATAACGGAAAAGTTTCGGTCGTTTCGGATAGGGAGGAAGCTCTGCGTAGTTCATATTATGAAAGAAAGTGATCAAATTTAAACTTATACTTCAAACTTTCGAGAGAGTGATGTATATGTTTCCATTAATATCGATAAGAGGCAGACCAATCCACTTAAATAATATTAGCCTGTTTGATTTTTATACTTTCGATTGAATTCATACATAATTTTAGATTTCCTTGATTCTATTACCTCTAATGCTTATTAATCTTGTTCAGTTTCAGTAAAAAAAATGTTCAGTGAATTAGTTCGTTGTTTTGTTCTGATGTCGACCGTATCATCGAAGAAGATTCAGGTCATTTTCAGTGCACACATCTTATAGAATTTGATCAAAACCTTCATCAGCGCCTCCTAGCATGTTTTCGGTAAATAGTTTTGCTACAGACATATCCTACATCATACGTGACTCCCTACATCGACTCCTTTAATTAATAGACTTCCCTTCCGCTATCAGTTCCCTCTCATTCCTTTCTTTTTTAAATCCCTTTTATTCGCCTATCTTAGGACACAAGAAATCTGTTCATAAGAAACAAGTTCTTCTAACCTTCCTGAATAGTCAAGGTAGTTGTTCTCTCTCGATTTCCAAATTTGTAGTCTATTTGCATATATGCTTACACGAATTCAAACCAAATTTTAAACACATATTCCCTTCCTGCGCTCTTATATACATTACAAAATAGCACGCTATTTACGAACCCAAACTTCGATATACATTTCCTGCATGTGGTCTTGCTTGCGCTGCTGTAGGCCTGCTTCTGCACGCACAGTAGCTGTTCAAGTTCAGCCCTAATTGCTCCAGAGTACAGAAATTCGAACATAGATGTGAAAATTCAACAAATTACTTTCAAGTTGACTAATTTTATGATAACACTTCATTTACAAAACCCGATAACATTTGTTACACTTCCTACTTAATTAATTCTTGAGCATCTCGTTACAATTGTAATTTTCCGAACTTTCAAATACACAAACATCCTTGTATCCTCAGCCCTCGCTTGCACGCATCCTGTGACGTCCTGTAGCTTAAAGGCACGCCCTTTTATAACATAGAGTTTATTATGCTGCTAGAAGTGTTCTGTTTGTGTGGGTTAATATAACCTGCGCCATGTTAAATGTTTCAATTTGTTTTATTTCAAAAATAGAGTTAATTAAGTTGAATAGTCGAATTATTACCTCGTTGATAATGTACGAAAACTTAGCGTTTATTTTTATTTACGTTATTTGCTTAAAAACTTTGAGTCCATGTTGCTTGTAAATGTTCATAAAATCCCCATATCAATATGAAAAATAAGACTTTGTACCCTGAGCCAGTGTTTACATTTAATTGTATTAATGCCCAGTCGTTCGGTGCCTCTGTTTTATAATGGCCTTCAGCCACGAAGATTCCTGCATGCACCATGTGATAATTCATCACATATTTTGGTTTGATCAATGTTAATTGAGCTTAGTAAAGTAGTCCTTGCCGTTGTCCTTAGTTAATGCTCGTACAGTATTTGAAGTTCATTCCCTTTAGTAAATTAAAGGAAAGTTCGTAATTGTCCACCAAATTCATTGATAAGTATTCATTTCAATGAGCTGCAACAAGTGTTATTTTTCTAAGATACTCCTAAGATTATTTATAGATTTAGATTTTACCTTGTTTGATTAGGTTGAAAAATAATATGTTTCTGTTGATATCAGCCCATACAGATAGGATAATTTTATTGATTTTCAATACTGCTAGTTGAGACATAGTTCAGTTACTGATGATCTCGGTTCTGATGACTGCAGCTCAAACATGAGCTCTCGAGAACACATGATGCTTGAGAGGCTCAGCCGACCAGGCAAATGACTTTGGAATTAAGTTGCTTTCGACTTGATTTCGTTGAAACAACGTTGCTTTCGAGTTCATTTCTTTATAACAACGTTTGTTTACTAATCAATTTCATTGGAGTAACGTTGATTGAGATGATCTCGTTGAAACAATGTTTATTGAGTTGAACTCGTTGAAACAACGTTGATCACGTAATTAAGTTGGAGAAACCTTGATTACGAGTTTATTTTGTTGGAACAACGTTGATTACAAATAAGTATCGCTGGAACAACGTTGAATCAACGTTATTTCAACGTCAGATGCCTGGTTGGCATCTTGAGCCCCGACGCTGACAGTTGCCCGTCCGCCTGCTCGTGCGCCTTCATTTCTCTCGTCATATATTCAACAGAACATCATATATTCAACAGAATTGAGACCTTTTGTTTTCCTTCCTTCAATAAAGTCAACATTGTTAAAATCGGGGCTGTGACAATTTAGCTAATGTTAACTGCAAGCAGAGAAATTTTTTGGCCACAGTTATCTTCAGGGTGATAGAAATTCGGATACATTTACGTTCAAGGCAGGAGCAATTTGTTTACATTTTTAACTTCATTGCTGTAGAAATTTGGTTACATTTGTCTTCAAGGAAAGTAACAATTTGGTTGCTGATATACTTAAGGTGGGGATTATTTTTATTACTCTATCTTCTAGATAAAGATATTTTCTTAAATTTATTATACTATTATCTTTATCTTCAGGGCGGTGGTCAATTAATTTACCCATGCCAAAAAGGTTAAATATGCCGTCAAACAGTCCAAAGTCGGATATCATTCGAAAGCATTCGTTATTAAATCACCTTCAGTCATGAATGCCTTAATTGGCCATTTGAAAACATTTAAGATAAAATTTCCCCAGTGTCTGGAAGATTTACGAAGAAGTAACCCCAACAAAATTTAGAGTCGCCCCAGCTTCTGGTACTCCAAATCAGAAGCTGATTTAGAGCGCCCCAGCTTCTGGTACTCCAAATCAGAAGCTGATTTAGAGTCGCCCCAGCTTCTGGTACTCCAAATCAGAAGCTGACGCGTCTGTAAATTTTCATTGGGAAGAGCTCATCACGAGTAAGCGGGCGAGGTGAATTAGCTGTAGTAAGATTTAGTGGCTGACAAGTTCTCCTTTACTATCACTTGAACTCTGATGTGCATGAGACAAGGAAGCTGCTGCTGCTGCTACCCCTTCTTCCTTTCATACTCAGCCACTCTGCATGACTCTAACAATACGGTACTCAAATTATTACACATTACAAAGCTAGAATAATTATAGAAACCCTCCAAAGCTGAGATTACTTAGTTTAATAATCTAGAGTAAAAAGATTTTCAACTTCACTTTCTGACCCACCAAAGTATTGATAATACTTCAAATATTATAATATTTTTTCGAAAATAAAGCATTTCAAAGTCCAGAAATGTTTTGAATAATCTTCCATTTAATCGTCGAAGATTTCTAAGCACACTATCCATTAAAACAATTCAATGCAATCAATCTTCACTATTCCTTTCTTCTATATTCCTCTAATGTTTGTACAGATGATGAAAGGTTTTTACAATAAATGACTGCTCTCCCATGATTTAAAAGAATTCAAACGAAAGCTTAAGTTTTCTTCCTCCTTTTTTTAGATTTTCCTATAGTCATGCTTTTTGCCTAGGATATTAGCTAGATGATAACTCCTAGACCTATTTTTTTACAATGATTACCGCACTCTCCGCCACTCTTTCATCCGAATTTCAATAATCATTGTAATGGTTCCTATCATCACTGCATTTACATCATTATTGCGCCTAAATAACAGCATCTCGCTTATTTTCTTTCCAGATTACGTCTGTATTTTATTTCCATTAACTCTGTGGTTCTACTAAATACACATTTCTTGAGTGGAGCTGCCTCTTTAATTAATTAAGTTAACTGAAGGTATAATGATAATTCCTACAGAAATTAATTCAAAAATTATTTCTGGAAGTTACGGATTTTTTACGCGGCTTATCACTTAATTGGTTCGTTGTAAATTACTTCTATAAATAAATGATTTCTCACCACAATAATCAAATAATTGATGCACTGAAAGTCTAAACAATTTTCATCAATGAAGAAGAAAAAAAGCATTCACTGTTAGTTAATTTGTACTGTAATTCACTCTGGAAGAAACTCAAGAGCTCCCAAAAATTTTATAATATGGGTCGGGAAAACACACCGTATTTCTGCGCATAAGGAAGGAGAGTTAATTAAATAATGTCTTTTAAATTTCTTTCCTCTTAATTAAAAAATTATTCTTATGAAAAAGTGACTGCATTCGATCGTCTCTCGCTGAAGTAGTTTCCGTGTCAGGTCAGATTACAGTTGCTATAATTATTTAAATTAATTCCAGGAAATATTAATATACTGTGAAAATATTTCGAAGTATGACTCGATGTCACTGTCCTAAGAACAATACTGCATATTCCATAATTATTAAGCTTAATAATTTTTTAGGTTTAACCCAATATCTTTCAAAACCCTCGGTCGCTGTAGTTCACTGCGACTCATTGCAAGTGTATTACCCAACAAGGAATAGAGTATCTCGCTGATGTGATGAAATCCAATGATCAACTTGAGGAAATATAAATTCCATGATTAATGAGAACGGATACTCAAGACTGCAAACTGCTTACTGGATCTGTTGTTTTTAATTAAATCGTAGATGAAAATGCATTGATGGGTAGTTCATAGCCAGAATTCTAATAGATTCTGGATTTCATTCAATCGTTGCTAATTTTTGACTAATATTTCTAGGAACAAAAGGTCAAGGATCCTCTAAAATGTAATTATTTCTTACTATTTTCAATAGCTGTTCCCAAGTCACCTTCCGACAAGCCACTTAATTATTCGTGTATACGTCTTAGGCTCGAGATAAGCATCTTATTTATTAGACTCAGAATTGAAGTAAATAAAATGTTCAACCATGAAGAAGTGTTGGACTTAATGGCGTAAACCATTGATATTATGAACCTTTGAAATTTAAGGCGCCTTCCGCGGGATGCTGACGCATTTAACTGTTATGGCAAGAACAAGAAAATACGATCAGAACAAACGAATAATTCGGATAGCAATATTTTGTAAATAGGCAAAAACATCCTGTACGTTACGAATTGACTTGTCTCGTGTTGTCGTGTCCTCGAAACTTATCCTCTTATTGAAAATACGAAAGAAATTCCGTTCATTGATCTTTTGTCGAATTAGGCAGCAACGAGTTCTAGTTTATAAAAAATGTGCCAATTAATTAAACTTTATCGCACGCATGGAAAGTAGAAGAAAAACGTTATATAATAACGTTTTTTTCCAAAGTTGTGCACTAGTTAAGCACCATCACCTAAAGTCTGACTTTCCGGCTGTCGTAAATTGATTTGAAGGTTGACCACTTTCAATTATGAGCTTAGAACTTGTAAGTTCTAAGTTAATCTACAACAAATTAAATCGCAAGAACAAGTCGTTATTTTCAATGGTATCAATGTTATTCTTCATTCTACACGGTTGTTTCAAGCTTAACCGGAGAGTCTACAATTTTTCTATTTATTTTGCACTTATTACCATATCACCGCTGGCTTCTTTACCGTCTGTGCGCAAACGATGATGGGAAGGGACGTTCGAAGGGACGAAGCCATGCTCAAATTAACTATTCTCTCAATAATGCTTGATTATCATCGAAAACCTGGAAGAAATAAATTGATCATAATTATGTTCCCAGATGCTGAAATGGTCGTATTTTTTTAATATTCTGATGAAATTGTGTTTTTTCTGCTGCAAAATTATTCACTTTTTTTCTGTTTCTTCAGGATTTTACTATGGATTTTTACTTTCGTCAATATTGGAGAGACCCGAGACTTATGTTTTCGGGGAATAAAAGTCTAGCGGACATTCAAGTGAGCTCTGACTTCTCAGCCCAGATTTGGCTGCCTGACACTTTCTTCCCAAACGAGAAAAGGGCTTACTACCATAAGGCGACTACTGATAACGAGATGATACGCATAGATGCTGAAGGCAATATATTGAGAAGCATGAGGTAATCGCTTTTTAAATTGAACCTTATCAACCTTAAATAGTTATGAACGATTAACTATGGCCCCGACTCCTCCAGTCTTCGGATCTAATCGGTGGGTGAGAAATCAAGTTCTGGAGACTAAATTCGATTCCAGCGATGAGGTATCAGTTTGACCATCTTATATAACTGATTTGAGTTTCGTTTTTTTAGCACGATAAAAAATGCCTTCAAAATTCGGGTTTTGGAACTCCCGGTTTTTAATAAATAACTAACAGGAAGACATGACTCTGACCGCACTTTATTAATTTAAGTGGACTGCGATCTGACCGCCTGTAATAGTGGTCTCAACAAACTCAGACATCTTCAAATTTCTGAGATATTATATAAAAATCAAACCCAATGAGATAACCTTTTTGGTTCTTTGCTTGATTCTATCCCAACATCCACTTTCAACGAAGACCTAAAGCACCTGCGAGTTCTACTTTATCAAGAAGGAAGTCCCGTTTCATAGATATTCAGTTTAATTTGTTTTATTAAAAAAATATTCTCGATTTAATAAAAAGAAGAATCAAAGTTTCTTTTATGAAAAATCGAGTATAGTTTTGAACAGAATCGTATTAGATTTTATAAAGAACTGAGTCTCACTTTATAAAGAATCAATTCTCATGGTATAGTAAATAAAGTTGCGTTTTATACAGAAGCAAGTCTTGTTTCATTAGAATCAATTCTTCTTTTATAAACAATCAATCGACAAACAAATATCGTATCAAACATTAGCTTCTCAATCTCTAACATTGTTTAATAACTCGCTTGTACTTGAATGCCGATCGATTTATACATCTTGGACGTGCCGCCAAGTTCATCAAAGGTTACTAAAACTTTTCTACCTTGAATCTAAAGAAGAATAAGAAACATCAATCTTTTCTTTCTTTAACATTTGCCTTTTCTAGAATAAGTGGGTTTTTTTAAGTTTTACTGCATCGATTAAAAAAAAAGAGAGACCAAAATATTGCTTATTTTGTGATTCATATTATTCACTATCTATATAAGTTGTTGCAATGGTTCCCTATTCAATAAAAAGATAATTTCACTGTTGAAGGACAATTAACTCTCCTTTCTTAAAAACAGTTCCTTATAATAAAAAATGTTGGAAATATTCAATTATTATGAGCAGCAATTATGGTGAACATGAAACAATAGTGAAGAGAATTCAGCATAGATACTGTATATATATATATACGGAGTATTCTGGTCTAGGCCTTTGTAACTCAGAAGAACTGTTATCACAGTTTAATCCAGGCGCATTTATTCCAATTCATCATGTAGATGAATTTGCCTGCAAATTAATTTCAAGAACTTTTTTCCTGATAAGTTCAATTCGTTTCGATCTATAACAAACATTGAAAGTTTCAAGCAATGTCCTGACTAATGATAGCATTCAACTTCTAGTCTGTCCTGCGTTGCGGGGTAAATAAAAAATATATATGCTATTAGTGAGCTAAATTTTTATAACTATGAAAGCTCAATTAAATTTAAGCACATTCGGATTTGACGAATCACTAGATGGCACAAAATGGATGAAATATAAGAATTTTTCCTTCATTGTGAATTATTGATTTAATTCAGCTCAGTGACAAAGTATAATTTCCACAACCCCAGACTAGAAAATTAACATTATGATTAATTTTTGGGCATGCATGCACGGCAGCGTGGAACCAACCACTTTATAATCACACTCCAGGGCAGGCAAACATTTGCAGGGACAATAGAGCTTGCTTTATACGCCATGGAGAATATGATCGTGTATTTAACCATATAACACTATTAACCATCAACACTTGTTTTACATCAATATGTATCCAAATACATTGTTCTTTATTATTTTTATTATATACCTACACTTGACGATCGTCCTGCCTTGAGGCTCTCATTCCGTATTTAGAAGATAAATAAATTATAAATTCATTAATATTAAATGCAAATACAACTTTTCTCAAAGTAAATCGTAATTCTAAATGCGCTGAGTCATGAGCAGCCTGGTATGACAATTTAACACGAAATTCAATTCATTTATTTGATCCTTCACAAACTGTCGTAACCCACTTCCTGATCTTGCTTTGGCTCTTCCTCCACAGCAGCCAACCGCCCTTCTTTCGCCTTTATCTCCTCGTGCACTCAAGAAACGCTAATTTCGTGTAGCAATGATACATTGTCTGCTGGTTCCTGAACTCCAAACTTGAGAAGTTCTCTTCCCTCCTCATGGGATGATTGAGTCCACCACAAGATTGGAGGTCAGGAGATCGTGTCCAAAACGATTTACGCAGCCAATGCATCGTAGCAACATCAAACTAGCGTTTTCTTCTTTGTGTGAATGGTCGAAATTCTGATGTTCACCACTCTCAGTGTTTTAATCCGACAACTAACCTACTGACTACACCGACTGTATATGCGATCACTTGTAAAGGGAATAAAGAAAAGTTCACAGCCATCATTGAGATCAAATTCATGATGCTCCTTTTGAGAACAGAGAAATCAGTAACGAGTTTTATTGCAACATATTGGTAGGCATTGAGCGAGCATATCAATTTCAGTCCGATTAATAGTCAGTGAGTCAGCTAAGTTGAGTTAGCCCCAATGAAATTGTGTCACCACCACTTTCTCACACGCGTATTCTTTTTTGCTTTCTTCGGCCTTCAGGACTTTACGCTCGACTTTTATTTTCGTCAACACTGGAAAGATCCACGGTTGTCATTCCCGGGCCTGCATGGCTTGGAACAACTGACAGTTGGCTCGGAATACCTATCCAGGATCTGGGTCCCTGATACCTTCTTTGCCAATGAAAAGAAGTCTTATTTTCACACGGCGACGACCCCAAATGAAATGCTTCGGATCACCAACGAAGGAGGAGTTCTGCGCAGCATGAGGTAAGACAACGGACGTCGGCTACACGGGGAGCGTCGCCTGTCAAGACAAGTTTGAATTTCTTGTCTACTGAAGGTAACTCTACGTACGTATATCATTACCAACTGTTCGGGTGCCCGGAGACGAAGTATTAACGTCTCAGCTCTCGTCATCGTCTGACCATGTCTCGCTCGATGTAATTACAGTATATGTAATTTATTGACTATAGTTCTGCTGGAAGAATATTAAAATCGAGAAAAATTGGGTTCATGATTATTAGTATTCTATTGTTCGTGAAAAAAGGAAATTATACGACAAATGATGGGTAACTGATTGGAATCTCAGCTTGCCTTTTCAGAATTCGATTTTGCTCATGTCTCTCAACTTAGGCTTAAAATTATCTCAACCATTAAATAATTCTCAATTTAACTAAACTTATAGACTTCAAAAACGATTCAGTATTCTTGTTTTGAATTTCAATTATGACAGCTTACCATTTATTTACCATTCCTATATGACAAATCGAACAGATCACAAGTTATTAGCGTTTTATTCCTACTCAAGTTTTGATAATTGTCGAGTGTGAAAGAAGATGTGTGTATGCAACATGTAAACTATAACTATTCAGAACTTCAATTTAGACTTTTATATATTCAATTTAGACTTTTTTTTATTTATATAGAATGGTCGTGCTATTTGTTATTATTTAGTAGCAATAACAGTTTTGTTATGACTGATTGCAACAAGCCTAAAAAATTAATCTCATATGAAGACAGTTTCATTTACCACAATTAATTCCTAGAATAAGTAGTAATATATTCTTCTAAATTACAGATTGACCATCACTGCATCATGTCCCATGAATCTCATGTACTTCCCGATGGACAGACAACTTTGTGTCATCGAAATTGAAAGCTGTGAGTAGATAGTTTTAGAAATTATTCACATAGTTGTTAAATTAGGTAATGATTGTGTTCGGTGTTTTAGAACAACGAAAAAAATATATCACTACTAACTGAAGTGAGTGACAAAGAGCACATTTTCTCTGTCACGTGAAGTCACGAACGGACATCAGTTGAGTCACAGACTGATGGACATGACGTGGAGTCACAGACGGACGGACATGACGAGTACAATAGTGCTTTTTTCATAAATGAGAAAATGCGCTAAAAACTGTCTGGTTGAGTTTTAAAAGAATTTCTTTTATAGTCATTTATGAGTTTTAAAATAAATTTTCACGCCGAAGTTTTATAACATTCTTCTAACTTTATTTTATAACCTCTTTACCTTCTTGTTGCTCCCCACAATCTGTAGAATTTGCGGTCACGAAAAATAAATTTATGCTAGTACTACATGTGTTTCATCAAACGTGTTTTTCAAGCCCATGCCTTCAGATGAGAATTGATATAATCTCTGTTAATTTCTCCGTAGACAAAGTGTTGAGGTACTTTTATTTACCTCTAGTTTAAATATTTTGATTGTAGGTAAAAAGTTCGCATCCCGGTAAGAAAGCTTGCTTCACAGCTCGTAGGGACACAGGACTAACCATGCACAAACATCTTGAATTGTTGGACGGGTACAGGAGTGCTTACTCTTGCCATCCCGGCTGCGTAAGTCAACACAGGTGGAGTGGCATATCTAAGAAGCACAAACACCATTGTCATGGTTACATGGTCAAAGCCTTTTCTCTGGAAGCTTTGCAGGACTCATTTAAACATTGTAGTTAGGAGCTTAAAAATATAATTTAAGAAATGGCAGTAGTAGCCAGTAGCAATTGTCCAAATGAAAAAGATGTTTTTGGATGTGTTTGTTGTGTTAAAATGTTTCAGGACAATTTGTAGCATCCAAGATAGGGCTAGACTTTCAACGCTTCATTATTGTTCGTGTCTGAAGTATGAAATAATGCTCAAGTTGGTCTTAAATGCCGCTGCAGTTTTATATTTACTTCATGTGTTAAAATACATGATTAAGTCCATGTTCACATATCCGATACCTTACAGTAATTTAAAGTCAACATTAGGAAATGAACTCGATTTCATCAAAGAATTCATTTCAAAGTAATGAACATCACTATTGCGTACGCCGCACCTGCTTCAATAATATATTTTATTATGATTCAAGTTTTGTAGCTTCAATAATTCAATAATTTTGAACATGCGCCGAAATTATGTTGCGCCCTATATAAATTTTTAGTGCTGCTAGTTACTCTAAGTCAGCATTCCACGTTAGTTAATTATTTTATTGAATTTGTTATTTAGAACTGGCCGTCATTATATGTCGATGTTGCTCTACAATTTGTTTTGTTTAATAATAAATATATTTAATCGGATTTATTCACGGCCTTATTACAGCTACCCTAGGTATAAAAATTCATAGTTTTCAACTGATATATGGTGTGCAAGCCTCTAAAATAAAATTTTCCGTTTTTTCCCTTATAACTTTTGGAAAAATTGAATTAGCACTTTGAAATTTGTACTAAACTTTGGGGCTTCTACTATTGTCAATGCTCAAAAATTTTCAGGCTTGTATTGCTAGTTGTTTTTAACTAGGAAGCTAAATTATGTTAAGTAAAAAACACAGTGATATTAAAATGTTAAATTAACACCGAATTTAAGATTAGGTTTGAGCACGAAGTTTAAGTGGAACTAGCAAAAAAATTACAAAGTAAAACAGTAAAATAATTTATTTTTCCAGAAATGATAATATAATTTCTAAAAAAGCGCCTAAGAATTTAGACGAAATTGCAAAAATCTCAAATGGGTTTTGACATGAAGGAGATATCTTGCAGTCACTTCTTTATTTCAAGTCATTATGGTAGGTCCTAAATGACTATAGAGCTAGGTACGCGACCTATTCATACATGTAAAATTTTAATGGGTGCTTTTTAGCGCATTTTATCCTTTATGGAAAAAATGCACTATTGGGCTTGCAATGTCCGTCTGTCTGTCCATCAATCCGTCCGTCCGTCCGTGACTTCACGTTTTCGTTGACGAGAAAATGCGCTCTCTGTCACTCACTACAGTGAGTACTTATATTTTTTGCAACACAAATCGGAATCGGTAGTTTTCTGTGGCTTGCTCTATGGATGAAATAAAGTGACCCGAAGAGCCTGACTACTCAATTGAAATATAAAATGTAGATGAAATAAAGTGACAAGAAGAGCCTGACTCCATAATTGATGTATTAAATGTAGATGAAATAAAGTGTCCCGAAGAGCGTGACTACTCAATTGAAATATGAAATGTAGATAAAATGAAGTGACCCTAAGAGCCTGACTACTCAGTTGAAATTTAAAATGTAGATGAAAAAAAGTGTCCCGAAGAGCCTGACTACCTAGTTGAATTATAAAAGATAAATGGTATGAAGTGACCTGAAGAGCCTGGCCACTCAGTTGATGTATCTTATTTTCTTGAGCGCCATGAAAAAGGCTTAGCGGAGGGCCGGAGTTTTCTTTGAATCCTTCTTGGTCCTCTTGATCTCAAACCTCCTACTTTGCTAACTATGTTGTGACGGAACAGCCTCAAGCGGCTACGACTTTAGGCTCTGCTCTATGAAGCTCGAAAGAGACTTAGAAATCAAAATTAACTTTAAAGCAGGAGCTTGCCAACGGTTTTAAAATTAAATCCTTCGCATTAGTAACTAATGCATGTGAATAAAGGAGCTTCACTCATTAAATATTTATGTCAAAACTGGCTATTTCTGAGCTATAAGCCATGAAGTTTCTGTTATAGTTTTCAGATATTAGACGTGTCGGGTACTAACAACTAACGAACTTGCATTCTAGGTATTTGTCACGACCTCGCATTTTTTCGCTTTCAATTTGAATCGTTATTGCAGGCACTTTTTATGTTTCCAAGCAAATTTTTAAATCTTTAATTGTTGTATATTTCAACAGTCGGTTACAGTATGGATCACATTCGGCTGTCATGGCATGCTGGGGATAAGAGCGTCGCCATCGAGCAAGGAGTTTCGCTCCCGCAGTTCAGAGTCCTGGGCTTCAACAGAAAAACGATCATCGCTTCAACGTCCACCGGTGAGCCCATCATCGCGCCTATCGTTTACCTATTTTGTCATTCAATCCTTTATAAGTTATTCATTTCTTGATAAATAAAGTTATAAGTTATTAATTTATTCTCAAATAAAGTTAAAAGTTCTCCATTTCTTGCCAAATAAATTTATAAGTTATTCATTTCTTGTCAAATGAAGTCATTATAGTTTTTAATTTTTTGTGAAACGAAGATATAAGTTTCCCATTTCTTAGCAAATGTCATGTCTCTGGAGATGCAGTCAAGAGATTTTTAGTAAGATTCGTCATTGCAGCACAGAAATACGTTGACGACTATATTGCAATGTAACGATTTTACACTCCGCCATCTGGAGCTAGCGGGAAACTATCAGTAAGACTACGTAGTATGAAATTTACACTCTAAATGTTGAATTTCCTACACTCAATTAATAGTCAGGATTCTGGTCTTTAGAAATAAGACTACTAGACATAATCAGAAAATAAATCTGGTTCGTAAATATCATCATTCTTCTCTGGTTAGTAGAGTGGGAGCTGCACAAATATTAAAAATAAAGTGAATAGATTTTCATGTATTTAAGTCAATCACTAACAAACAACCCATTGAATTGGACGTAAAAATTATCGTCTATTTTGAAATTAACATTCATCTCAGGATCAGTTATTTACAAAGTTTAATTAGTGTGTCGAGTCTCTCGTTCGTGTCAGCAAAAGTCACTCTGTGTTTTATCCACTTTCAAAGCGCCATTAAAATGTGCTTGTGCAAGGTCACGTTTCATTCGTAAACTTTTGTCGCTGGATGAGATGCTGCGTGTAAATGCATTAGCCTGCCATGGCAGAGCGACGACGAGCAAACAGACAGCCTGCAATCCTACACACGGAGAAATAAACGAGATTTTGTCCTAAATAGTAATGCGCGAAGCACTTTTTTCCCTTGTGTGCGTCATCCTAACTCACTTTGGCACAAGACAAAGGCGCAACAGTGCTACGTCTTTTCTATGCTCGTGCAGTGGGTGAGAAATTGGGTCACTATTTGGACAATATAACCCATTCATTTTCTGAGTGTGTGGTCTTCTTCAAAGTCATACATGATTTCAAGGCTGAATAAATTACATGTTTATTAGAGATAATGAAATTGATCATCACCAGCAGCGAGGTGGAATACAAACTGTCTAGCAACTGGAAACTCCTTCAAACAGCCAAGGTAGAAATCTCCTTGTTAGTCTGTCTTCATCAGAAAAAATGAAGAAAACTTTTCTCAAATTCTATTAAGACAACAGCTATAATGTGAAAAAAATACCGAGCATAAGATGAGGAAAGTTTGGATCTTGTCAGACTCTAAAGACTAACTTAAACCTCGACCTTGGAGGTCTTTGGAGAATGAAACCAATGCCGAGTTCAGCTTCTGGCCGCAGACCTAGTAACATTTGGCCGGTAATGGCCACGGCCGCAGCAATATTTGGCCGCTTCTAGCGACGGCCGCAGCAATATTTGGCCGCTTCTAGCGACGGCCGTAGCAAAATTTGGCCGCTTCTAGCGACAGCCGTAGCAACATTTGGCCGCTTCTGACCACGGCCGCAGCAATATTTGGCCGCTTCTAGCGACGGCCGTAGCAAAATTTGGCCGCTTCTAGCGACGGCTGTAGCAATATTTGGCCGCTTCTAGCGACGGCTGTAGCAATATTTGGCCGCTTCTAGCGACGGCTGTAGCAATATTTGGCCGCTTCTGACCACGGTTGTATCAACATTTGGCCGCTTCTGCCCACGGCCGTAGCAACATTTGGACGCTTCTAGCGACGGCCGTTTCATGCCGTAGTAACAGTTAGTCGCCTCTGGCTACGGCCGTAGCAACCTTTGGCATGACACAAGGACTCTCTTGCCTTAAGACTGGCCAACAGTGGCCGTTGGCTTCAAAAGCAGCCAAATTAGAAGTTTCAAAGAAAGAACTTCTAAAAGTTCTTTTTGGTTGAACAAAGAGTCCATTCAACATATTTTATTGCTTTACAACGTGGCCTATTTTACTTGCTTTGGTTTGAACAATTTATTACCTTTTCATGTGAACGATGTAGTTGAATCTCTCGGAAAGGTTTGACTTACGCTGAATTACAAAGGATGTTGATCTTGCTGGTAATTTACGTTTCCGAAGGAGATAAGTTCAAATTTCAAAAAACTTACACTGGAAAAAAATTGAGAAAGGCTTCTCTAATGCATAGAAAGTGTCCCTGCAGTGATATTAAAATTACTCATAATTTGTCAACACGACATTTCATACATTTTCCATCGTAAGCACCACCCCTGATATTCAACAAACAGCCAATTCTAGTTGATTAGCGGGCGCAGCATCAGCTAATTGTATTCATCGAAATATTATTTTTAACGTTTCGTTCATCTTAAATTTTTTCTTTATTTTTAATCCTAGAGATTGCTCTAGTAACATGAATTTATAAGGAATTAAGCAGTTATATTCGTTCAACCATTCGGCATCATCCAACTTCGATTGCCTACATGAAATAATTTCGTTACGAATTTATTTTAGAAATTTAGCACAACTTGAATAGTTGTTGTTGTTGTTGTTCTTGTTGCACCGTTTAACAAATATTATAACAAACACTTGAATTAAGGAATGACTTCGCCGAGGATCAAAGAAGATTAACATAAATCGGGGATCAACGTGTTGTGATCGCCACACCATTCGGAGATTAGTTGTTTATATTTGCATTGGCATTTTTCTTAGATTACTTATAAGTTTATTACTCGCTAATTTGGAATCAATTTCTTAGCTTATTTCTAGACAAATATTCAAGTTTTCAATGACGCGAGCTAATGGCTCATTCATAAACACGTACGTTAGGTAGATTTTTATTTTATAAGTCAGTAGTTGAACGCACGCTGTCACATATGGAAGTTGTAAGTTTCTGTGCAGATATAAATAAAATATTAAAATTAAAAAATGAAATATATATGTATAAAATAAATATGTTCAACACAAATATATATGCATAAAATAAAATAAATATGTGTAAAAGAAACATATTTATATTTGGATTATTTGTTTTTGCATTATTCTTTATAGGGAACTTGGTCAACGTAAATAGGGACATCATCCATAGCATTCGATAATATTCCTATGGAAGCTCTCTATTGTATTATAATGAATAATTTCATGCGATATGATGAACTCCAATACATGAGACGTGCTCTTCTGTCATAAAACGGTTGAAACATTTTGGATGACTCAATTGTTGCAGTATTTTCAACCATCCCTGAGGAAATCATCAGTGAAAACTGAAGTTTCCTTACAAAAAAATGGCCAATGAACTTGGCTCCGCTTGACGCACAATTTTCGGTAAACGTCATTTTTCGGTAAACAAGAGAAGAAAATATTCGGATATTAATCAATTTTGTACAGTTATTCGAATAAGTTCTGTCTAGGATTCAGAAATACTGAAACAAATTAAGACACTAACCTCTCGCTGCATATTCATGAGGATAATCGTCATAGCATCCTAGTTATACTTTTATCCATAATAAAACTCAGCAACATTCTTAAGAATTACTCTGTCTGAATAAAACAAATCCACGTTCGTCTCTCGGTTCGTTACGTAATAAATAAAACTCAGCAATATTCTTAAGAATTACTCTGTCTGAATAAAACAAATCCACGTTCGTCTTTCGATTTGTTACGTAATGAAGAAAAAACGATCAAAATTTGTCGCTGAAGAGGTAATTGCAACTGTAATTACATGTATTCATTAATTTTTCTTAATAATTTATAATTTTAAATCAATGCCTATCATCATCAGTATTAAAATTTTATGAAGAATATTTCTGTAAAAGACGTATTCAATTATGACCGTGATTTCTCTACGGCCGTGCACGGCCAAAATACCTGAGCTGCCAAGCCGGTACCCCGCTGATGACCGCTCTAACGATCCACTCGCTTGCATTAGCATCGATAATCGCTGTATTTTATACATTATAGCAAAATTATAATTCACCGTCACGGCCAGAAATTCGGTAAATGTTACTAAGTTGGGTTCTGTTAGCAGCAGAAAGGAGGTTCAGAAACGAGAATAGAAACAGAATGGTTCATCGCTTCTGCTTCGATGAATGTTTACGCATCACTGAAAAAAAAAACAAGGAGACTTGATCCAAATAAAGATGCACTTTTCCCTCTTTTTCTGGGTAATATTGGCCTGTTTAGTCCAGCCAATTGGCGCATCACTAATACCTTCGCGCTCTGGGGCCATATTTTCAAAACTCGCTAAGTGAACGTAAGTACTTACGCTCTATTATCGTGTCTATGATTGGTGGATTTTGCTTGAAAGGCCGTCAATGATTGGCTGATGAACTTAAGATCTCTTAACTTTTTTTAAAGTATGGGTCCTGTTCTACTGTGGATCAGAAAATGAGTTTATTTTTGGACAATATGGCCATTGATTTTCGCGAGTGATGTACCAAATAGAATAAGATATCCTACATGACTCACATTGGCTGGTAGGAAATTTTGCGGGACTCAAACTGAAGGCAAGGCTTGACAAGATTAAAAATACCTGATTTAAATTAAATGACGAAGCCGTGCACATTCCCTAGTTACTATTTTGAACATTTAACTTATAAGCGTTTCTTATTTATACTCAAACCGTCTTCAAAGATAATGAATTAAGGGTGGTACAGTTTTATATCGTTGCTTATATTTTATACAAAAATAAAAGCAAACAATTAAGAAGTATTAAATAATAAAATATCGTATCACTCGTTGCGTACAATTGTCGACTGAGAAAATAGAATTGTGTTACAAAGTAAGTGATACATGATTTCCAATTTTTATGGTGCAGCTGATTACTTTTTTTCTTCAACAAAGAATGCTGAATGATATGAATTTGGAATAGGATGAAAGAATTATTGTGTAATGTTATTTGGCATAAAAATAAATAATTGTTAACAGTGTTCCAAATTTTAACATTTTTTCAATGCAAGTCAAGTTATAGAAAGTTTATTCGGCCATACGGTAGCCACCAGCTCGGATCCTAGATGAAATATAAAAGTTGCTTATCCCTGGACTTTCCAGCGCCTCCCTTGAATCTTCTTTGATAACGTCGGGAAGAATTGATCCCAGCTTCAGAATATTGCATTTTTGAGCTGAACTCCCATCGGTCTAGGACGCTCGTGGCTCTCAGATCAGAAGTACAGGTGATGGAGTACAGAAACGTCAGGTCAATGTAGGAGCTTTACCGTGCTCATGCTGTTGAAGAACATAACACTGAAGCACCATGACCATATGAGGCCTCCACGTATCTACATAGGACTGTCAGAGAGCTTTACCGTGCTCATGGTCTTGAAGAACTTAACACTGAAGCACCACGACCATGAGGCCTCCACGTATCTACATAAGACTGTCAAATAGCTTTACCGTGCCCATGGGCTTGAAGAACATAACACTGAAGCACCATGACCATATGAGGCCTCAAAGTATCTACATAGGACTGTCAGAGAGCTTTACCGAGCTCATGGTCTGAAGAACATAACACTGAAGCTGTACGACCATGAGGCCTTCACGTATCTACATAGGACTGTCAGTTAACTTTACCGTGCTCATGGTCTTGAAGAACTTAACACTGAAGCACCATGACCATGAGACCTCCACGTATCTACATAAGACTGTCAGAGAGCTTTACCGTGCTCATGGTCTTGAAGAACTTAACACTGAAGCTCCACGACCATGTATTTCACGTACTACATGGGACATAGGTTTGTCAGGGACATATACCGTGCACATGGTATTGAAGAAATTAGCTACTGAGACACCACGACCATGTATGGTACTTTACGTGTCCAATGAAAAATGTCGGCGTGGATACTATTGACTTATTTTCAACTTTAAATAATTAATTCATGCGTTAGTTGTCGCACTGATATCGTTCTCAACACCGTAAATAGTAATACTTGGAAACTATAGATAGAAAATTGAAACTTTATATAGATCTAAATGAATTTTATAACTCTATTCGCGCTAAGTCTTACTTCCTTATTTATTTATTAATGTATTACAATATATCTTAGGCAAACGCCCTCTCACCTAATGATTTTTGAAGGATATCGACGCGCTGTTATCGCTGCTGTAAATTTAAAGGTCAAATAATTCCAGCAAAGATGGACGGCAAAATTTCAAAGCATATTACTAGGAGTCTTTGTTGCGGAATGAATTAAACAATTACGTTAGAGCGTTCTCGTGAAATTTCACCGAATTTCGAAAGGTTATAACGTCGTAAAATATGTTTCAACAATATTATGTAATTACTTGAACATGAATTAGCTACATACGTGACACATAAAATGCATTGTCTTGACATGAAGCAAATTTTGGAAAAGCGAACTGAATTAACTCGTTCCTAAAGTCATTATGAAGCCTTGATTCGCATGCAGCGAGAAGTTAATCAGACAGATGGGAAACCTGACGGTTGGTGGATTTCCAGCGCTTGTGGTACGAATACAATTATGTGGTCAAGATTAATTGATGATTAGAATATAATACATTATTTAAATTCAAAATTTTGAAATATTTTCCATAGATGAAATAAATACGCATTAAAACTTTATCGTCGGTGTTTGGTCCAAAATATCGCTTATTTGAGTCAAAAGTCAAACTCAAATGGAATCGTTAACTCAATGTATGGCGTTGAAAATAATCTAGCAACCAAAAAAGCAATTCATTTTGCATCCCTTGTAACACATACAATACACCTCATTTCGATTAGTTTTTCTCCGGCTTATTGCTTACACGAATTCTATTCTAAATACAATCTAATGCAAACATTATTCAGGCCCGAATGCATTGGCTGTATCGGGTTCCTAGGAAATCCACTATTGAATCAGGTCAAAATATCATAGGGGAGACTGAAGTCTTTTTCTCGTCACGTGATCTCATCAGCGTTAGCGTTAATAACATGAAATCTTCGGCGTTGATGGATGACTTGACCGAGTCCGACAGTTGCGCACGATACCGGTCTCGTGTCGCCCTCATATTGGGACCGAACCAAATAGAATGGAAAGAAATGTTCCGGGTCATGGAAGGCATCTGGGCTTATTAGTTACCATTGAGTTGCGACATTTCGTGCCTCAATCGGGGCTTGGAGGAGGCAGTTTTCTGCAGACTTTGCCGCTGCTCGAATTCCTTCCAACATTTTTAAACAAGTTCATATATTTTTGGTCTGTTCTAATTCAATTTGCATATTTTTTAATGGCACGTTAGGACAAATTTGCTTGTGATTTGCATTCATGAAGGGAATTTCAAGTATGTTTTTTTCTAATAATTAACTAAAAATCATTTAATTAAAATGGTTTCTGTGAAATTCTCAATTATTCCAAATTTATTTTATCTTGTGATAATTTATTATATGGGAGCGCCTGAACGAAAAAAGGCAAAATCTATTTAAATTATTCAACGATTATAAGTACGATTATGAATATAAAGATTATGAATAGAATAAGATTTTTTAAGAAACGCAGAAATTTATATGAAATTAAATAAAAGAAACTTGTTGAACTTGATCGCAATTTCCAGCGATTAGATTAGATTTTTAACTGAAATTAAAGCAAAAATTTAACATTAAATTCATGGCGATATCAAGTCAAATTTTTTAAAATTTAATGTCATTAGATTAAGAAGAAATAAAAACCGTTGGCCTAATATTCATCCGTAAAATGAGAAGTCTAACTATATGTTTAAACACAGACGATGCAATTAATTTTATGGTAGCAAACAATTTCAAATTGATCTTATTTGAAAAAAATACCATCTTAATGATTCAATTTCCACAAAACGATGCCATTGACTTTACTCCAGCAAGTAAATCCAATAACTTTCATTTCAAGAAAAGCAATCTATTTCATTGCTCTTCGATAAATTCCTTGCAATATTTGTAGCTGCAAATCCTTCCGTGGGTGGTCACGGTATTTTTAGCCAAATTTTTTTAAATCAACGGTAGCGTTTATCGAGATATAAATTTGACAAAATCGTTCTTGTGAGCATTTTTGAACTAATCAATAATTCAACAGATTCAACAACAACAACAAACATGTCATTAAAATTCATAAAAATCGTAGAACAACTTCCAAATTTAATATATTGATCTCCTTCTGATTTATATTACAGGAAACTACTCACGCTTGCTGTGTGAAATCGCATTCGTGCGTTCGATGGGATACTACCTCATCCAGATCTACATCCCGTCTACCCTCATCGTCGTCATTTCTTGGGTATCCTTCTGGCTCAACAGAGCAGGTGAAGGTTAATAAATTCTTGGTCTTCGTAATTCAGTCAACTTCGCTCATATGGAACTCGTCTGGACCAAGATTTTCCAGCCTTAGTAGAGGCGGTTCTACGCAACTTAAGAGTTTGATGTCTGTAGAAAAGTTTCCCTGGTTCTTCTCACAAGTATTCCTAATTTGTAGAGTTACTTATAAGCGAAGTCAACTGTATTCTCTTGAGAACCAAAAAGACCAAGAATTTGCTCGTTTGACTTAGGTTAAATCTAGAAAATTAATGAATTCTCTAATTTTTACACTTCTTTCGAGAGTTTTCACACTTCTCTCGAGAGTGTTATTATACATTGAGTAATCACTAACCATTGCAGATTTTTCCATACAGGCTTATAATCTTTTCAAACTCTTAAAATACTTCTACCCTGCATTTACGGTCATCATTTCAATTACAAAGTTCTATTTGCTAATGAACAGCACACTTCTAAGTTTAATCTGCTGCATACGTCGCAATTTTGAGCAGGGAAACACGCATAAAGAAAGAATTTTCAAAGATGAAGAGATAATATCGCGGTTTCTGCTAATTTTCCAAAATGTGTGCGCTGCACTGCAAACACTTCATTTCAAAGATCTTTGATACCTTAAAAATATATTTAATATTCCGAAATGAGACCTAGGGGGATGGATGAAGTTCATAATTTATTCGATGCATCATATTAACTGCCAAGCATGGCCACGATGCCTGAATATAAGACATCTTTGCATCGCATGGTATCATGCTTGCATCACATGGTATCATGCTTGCATCACATGGTATCATGCTTGCATCGCATGGTATCATGCTTGCAAGTTGCATCACATGGTATCATGCTTGCATCACATGGTATCATGCTTGCATCGCATGGTATCATGCTTGCATCGCATGGTATCATGCTTGCCTCACATATCTCGAGTGTTGGACATGAACTCCTTCAGACCGCACCCATGAATTAATTATTCTTAAATGAACACAAATGAAGCAAACGAATCACTTTTAAACCAATGGCCGATTTTAAATTTATTGGCCATTGAATGATGGAAAATTGCAATCGATAGCGATGTTATTTGATCCAACCCACTGTCAAATAATTTTCTCTTCAAATAAATAATATTGAACGCTGCTAATTACCATTTATAATATTTTGTTGACAATCTGCTCTTTCTGGTGTCAAGAGTTCTATGGTTGGTTAACGAGTTGCACCACCAGTGTTCAAGTTACTTTGAATGCTTATGCAGCGACACATGCAATGTGCCACTAGTTCGCTAGTTGAGGACTCGCAACTTTTAATTATTTTATTAACTAATCGTTGTATGTTCTGGAATCACCCATTATTGTTTGGGGTAGTGACGTGCCTCGCAGCTATTCGACAATTCGAGCTGTAAAATTTATTTGTTCTACCAACAAATTGGCAAAAATTCACAGTAATTTATGTATAACTGTCCAAAAATTAAAATCTCTCGGAAACCGTTTCTTCCGAGGCACTTCATCTCACCTGCTTGAATTATTTCAAAAATTTAATTCATTATCTTCCTTATGCTCAAAAAAGTTCTAACTAATGACTCATACCTAAATGTTCCAAATGAGCATATTTAGCTGCCTAATAACTATGAGCATACAGTACAATATTGAAGACTGAAACGAGCTCTGAAGCGAGAAAATCGCATTTATTTAAAGGCATCAACTAAGTTACAAATAAATCTTAGCCTTGAAAAATATGTATCATCTGTCAAAACTTCGAACAATTTTGTGAGGAGTTCTCAATAGTTTATGAACTCACAATCTGTGCACTCTTTATAATCGCTGTGCTTCGACGGAGACATAAATATAATGCGGTGTCATTTCCGGTGTGGAATCACATAAATGTGAAAAGCTGACTGCTGATTTTAAAGTCAAATCATTGAATAATTTAAACATATTAACGTTTTAAATTTTTTTCGAGACAAGACCTGACACGGCCTTATCAAGGCCCGAACTGACACCACCTTATCAAGGCCTGACCAGGCACGACCTTATCAAGACCCGACCAGACACGACCTTATCAAGACCCGACCAGACACGACCTTATCAAGACCCGACCAGACACGACCTTATTACGGCCCGACCAGGCACGACCTTATCAAGACCCGACCTGACACGACTTTATCAAGATCCGACCAGGCACGACCTTATAAAAGCCCGACCAGACACGACCTTATCAAGATCCGACCAGGCACAACCTTATCAAGGCCCGACCAGACACGACCTTATCAAGACCCGACCAGACACGACCTTATCACGGCCCGACCAGGCACGACCTTATCAAGACCCGACCAGACACGACCTTTATCACGGCCGACCAGGCACGTTATTAATCGTAGACGAGCGTAACGTAATCATTGTCTAGTCTTGCTCTCTCGCGCCGAGGGAACAAATTAAGTGCACTCGTGATAGGCCTTAAAGGTGGTACGATGTGAGGGGAGCTCGCAGTTATTATAGACTCGCTCGAGGACCTAATGAACGCGTCCATGCCGCTTAATTGTCTGCCCAGGCTTTAAGCTTGCATCGCTAAACATCATCCTAGCAAGATACGAGCAGGAGAGGTGCGTATAATGGGCTGATTTTCAGAGCGCCTCTGAGGAATCATTGATAAATCAGAACAATATTTCGTATTTAATCGAGTTAAAAATATCCGTGCTTCAAATTTGGCTGGTCATTGATGCCAAGCTCTAAAAAATCCACTATCTCTTAAGATGCTGATAACATGAAATAAATTTTTCTTGTAAATTCATATTATAATTTAGGAATTGTCTTAGCTGACAGTGTTACATTTGCCAGTATTTGTTGCTCTATCAAAACTCGCTCAAGAACATTTATCGTCCAATGTATACTCAATGGCGGAATTCTCGTATATGATTGTTGGGTTTAACTAGGTAAATCTGATGGAGTTTCGAACTATTTTAACTATTTTGCTAGTACGGCTCCCAACCCCCAGCCTCGGTTCATGCGTCATTTGTACAAAAACGAGAGGCTAGTTTCCTTAGGCGCAATATTACATTCAAACGCTGCACGTTCATCCTCATTTTCTCGTGGGCGCGATACGACAAGAAATAGATAATTCTAATCTTCTTAGAATTTCGTATTTTAGAATTTCACACTAGTATTTACTTGTTTATAGATACAAGTTTTCGAGGGATTTGGAACTATTCGAAACTTTTTCGTAATTATTGTCGTCTATTATAAAATTTGTAAATTGCGAATATCCATCGACTACACTCGATCACTTACTCTGGTAAACAAATGTCAACGAATAAAACTTGGTATATTTTCAATAATGATATTATTTCAAAGACCGACCTTTTAATATTGTTCAATTCAAAAAACCGAAAAAATGAAATTCTTTGACTTATAGTAGCAGATTGATAGCGAGCAAACTAATTTTGAATTTGAAAAGAAGTTTCCACGATTTACAAGATAATTTTCAAAAACTGTATCAAAATTTTTTTTAAAACACAAATTTATTAACAGAATATGTTCCGCAAAACACATGTTTAATTCTAAGTACAAGTGCAACTTTGCAAGTGATCAATCGCACATATTCTTTTCAACCCTGCATCTCTTTGTACCGTGTTCAAATGAGCGACACATGGTGCCTGTGATGTTGTGGTAGCTACAAAAAAAGATGACATTACCTGACTTGATTATGCTTTTCTGTTCACAAAAATCTGTCAGAAGAAGGCAAATTTTTCACTATGGCTATTTTATTACGTTAAATTTATATCTAAGTCATTTTTAGACTTATTTTACCCACGAATCTTGATGAAACCGCTAATAATAAAAAACTATTTTCTTCAATGGCGCCACGAGACCCAAGTGGAGGGGCGAAATTTCGAACAAAATTTTACATGTTTTTACTCATTTTGTGTCACAATATTACGCACCTGACAACCAAATCGAGTCTTAAAGAATATACCTAAATTTTTTATTAAAATAATATTTATATTTCAGCCGGCTAATGAATGTTGTTTGGTTGAACCCGCTTGGGTGTTCATATTAGCTGTCATTTTTAAATCTGAATGATCGAGATGTTTTCTGATGTTATAGTTAAGATGTCATTGCTTTTTAGTGATTTAATTCTTAATCACTCTGTCCCAAACCGATCTGTCTTCTAGAACTGCTAGTTACTTTCTCTGCTTGAACCTTGTGGAGTTTCATGTATAATTTTATTTATTTATTCATGTGGCTCAGTATTTATGGTTCAACGATCAATTTTTAACACAATTAAAAGGAATTTTGTTTCTAAATAACGTTTTCATTCATAGGTAGCCACGATTATCATGAATTTCGACAGCTAGTTCTCAAAACTTTCCTAGAATTTCATGCCACAATAGCCAGTAATTATTCTGAAAATTAGCTGCGCAATAAGCATCAGTTAATATTGCTGATGTGACAACAGAAGTGAGTCTTGAATAAACTAATGACTTTTAACGACGAAAGTCATTTTCTCCTGAATTTCTTGGTACAATAAACTTAAGTCGACTTCTGTGATGTGAAAACAGGAGTGTGTTCACAATAAACCCACGACTTTCATCGTCGTAATCAATGTTTCAGCCACTCCCGCGCGCGTGTCCCTGGGAGTGACCACCGTGCTTACCATGACCACCCTCATGTCATCCACCAATGCGGCTCTACCGAAGATTTCTTACGTCAAGTCCATCGACGTGTACCTCGGCACCTGCTTCGTCATGGTCTTCGCCTCGCTGCTTGGTGAGATTTGTAATCCTTTCATATTATTGTCAACTATAATCTGTTTCTTGCAGCTCGTAAAGTGCATTTCTGGCGGTATTTTAGATTTATTTTTAACTGAAATGTAAAATTAACTATTTTAGCATCGTTCTCTTTGCTTCTAGGTATACAAATAACATAAAGACAAATTTCTCATTGGTTGGTATATTACAACAATTTATTTGCAGTATATGATACATTGTAGAACAGATTCAGTTTGTGTAAAAAAATACATGGACAATATGGCATTAACAACTCATGCCCATCGCACAAAACATGAATTGTATGAGAGCTCGGAATACGAATTCAACACAAAGTTCAAAACATTACAAATTACATCACTGTAAATTTATTTGACGTTTTCATTCAACATTCTGTGTACACTTCATCCATTAAGTTATTGCAAAACCTCATTTAAGATAATGAAGTAATATATTATAACATTTTATAATACTTATAATTAGCCTGATTCAGTATACAAGATCTAATTGATACAAAAATTTCTGTCAGATGTCAAATTTTGAGTCCGTGTACTTACTACTTTTAATACTTAAATTAATACCCTACGCAGCCGCTCATAAAAATATCGAAGTTTGCGTTGAGTTTCATTATTTATTTCATCACCTAGGCCACTGAAACAGCAAGCACACAATATCACTTTTCCGCCATTCGACGAACCATTATCCAAGTTTCTTCCCAAAACAAAACAAACTAGTACAGGCAAATATCCATTCGGGACTTGAATGGAAGTCGATAATCTGTAAGTTAATCGTGAAGTAATGCGTCGATGAAATTTGTCGAACTTTTGTGATTAATCTTAACTTTGAGCATTTATGTAAAATTTCGTCTGATTGAGATTTGCCACAAACAACTCTTGCGAATTTCAATTGGATTAAACTAAAATACATCCCTGAATATTGCAAACTGAATGTTGGGTAGAACAAGAAGTAAACGAGGCTAATTTAGACAATATCTGAGGTGATTACGACAGCAGAACTGTTCTCGTTTTCTTCATGCATATTCTGAAACAGTCGCAAGTAAACGTGAGTAGAGTTGCACTGCATCGTCCAATTGCAATGAGCTTTATGAGATCCAAAACAAACACATTAAATAGACGATGCTCGCATTTGACCAAATGTTCACCTGCAAAATGTCGCTGATGTACGTCCTGAGGTGTACAGCGTTTAGGATCTTTCCTATTATTTTCGAAATTGATCCATTTTTTGTGACATGAGTTTTAAAATCCCCACATCGTTACGATTAGTTGTTTGCTGAATCAAATGCAATGATTTAAACTGTCCCAAACCCAATTGATTTCTGTTGATTCAATGGTGCTTCTTTTGCTCCTATGAAAGTTCCATATTGACATTGGTCGGTTGATTTAACGGTACACTGTGTTGGTACAGTGTGGGATTGATGAGAGCAAATTATCTCTGTTTTATTAGCGTTTTGACGAGATTTAGAATTTCAAAGTGTCGAACGAATTATGTGCTTTCACTTTGGGGTATTCAAAATTTGTAACCTATTATTCCTGTAAATCTAGCATTCTAATAAAAAATTCTCAACCTCAAATAATTTTTAGTTACCAAATACCTGAAAAAAACGCAAATTATCTATGTGTATTTTTATAAAATTTCTCAACCACAAATAATTATCAGTTACCAAATACCTGAAAAAACGCATATTATACATGTTAGATTTTACAAAGCGCTTCTAGACTCGCATGTCATTCACTACCAGAATACGCGGCCGTTGGCTACCTCGGCAAGCGTATCCAGATGCGCAAGAACCGCATCCTGCAGCTGCAGAAGATGATCGAGCAGCGTAAAGCCCAACACCTGGAGCTGAGCCACGAAGGAGGCCCTGACGCTGCCGACCACGCCCCTAAACAAACTGTGAGTTGAGTTACTACCTTAATTTTGTTCGCTAGCGGATGCGTTGTTAAAACAAACACATTGTTAAAATCTTAACGTAGCTGGTAAATTCTTCACTCAAACATATTGCGTTGCCGCCTTTTGTACTCAAGCTAAAACATTGTTGAATTTTTCAGGCGAACACATGGCGTTACTGTTCTTTGTAGACAACCGGACACATTGTTAAGTTTTTCACGCCAACACACTGCATACGCTGCTCCTTCTACACAAGCTGAAACTTTGTTAAATTCTTCAAACAAACACACTGCGCTGCCCTCCTACACAAGCTGGCATATTTATTAATTACTGCTACGAACACAAACGAAATGTGAGTAGGCTGTACCCACGTGCAATTTTTGGTTGTGCTACACTCCAGCTGGTACGGGATTAAATATCTTATGTAACTATGAGTACGCAAGCTTTGGATTTGGTGCAGAGGTTATTGAGCTTCAAAAAGTGGTCGAAAGAAATTAAATTTATCGCTCAAATGTAACTGGTGATACTTGACTCTGAATACAATACGAATTACTTCAACAATAGACTTTAGAGTTGAATTGAATTTTTAATTCAATCAATTTTCAAATTTAGATATCAAAATCCCACAGATAATGTAACTAATCTAAACAAGAATGGAAGATTTCAATTTCCTCGGTACAGCACGCTTCAACTAGCAAAAAAAAATTTATGAAGTTATTTTTCGGTTTAAACTCATAATAAGTTTAGATATTCAGCTTCTGATGAGAGTAAAGAAGCGTTTACCTTGGGTTCTGTGCTGATAACCTGATCAACATCCACTAACCTTACAGATTTATTACAAAACAATATAAAAGCACATGCTATCTAGACCAACAATGGAGAAAAATACAAGCTTATGGCAGCCGTAGAACTTGGACTTAACATCTTTAAGAAATACAATCTCAGAAAAATTCCTATTTTCGTTGGTTCGTGATCAGCTTACATTACCGTCATTGGCGGATTCGTTCGGCAATTTTTGCTCACTCTATATTAAGAACAAAGCTCGGAACCCATAGGACCCTGGAAAAGAAACCATCAAATTTCTCCGAGGAAAAAAGCCTTCTAATGGCTGGATTAGCATTTTTATTATTTTTGGTGAGCCTTATCTGCGAGAAACACCCCGAGTGAACACTTCGGGGAGCCCTCGGGACCGAGGCAGCGCGCTCCTGCTTAATGCAATGTCTTTTATTCGAATTCCTGAAATAAATGGAAATAATTATATCAAAATATCAGCTCATGCAGATTTACCTTTTATATCTCATTAAAATTTAATGGGAAGCGAAAATTATATGATGGTTAACATAAAGAAATTGATAATTTAGTTTTTCTTTCCTCCGCTGTGAGGTTTGTTGGTGATTCAATCTAATTGAAATCTTATCTAATTGTTGGGTTCAATGTTATTATTTGTTATAGGTTTAGTGTCTCAATTTGCTACGTTAAATTCTCTCTTTAAAATATTCATGAATTCATTTTATCTCGCAGGATTCAGAGGGTCTGCAGAATTGCGAATTGCATTTTATGATGCAATTTTGAAGATGTCGCATGGTCTTGTTCTGTTAATGTGGAAGGGAAGGAAACATCGTGATACAGAAAGAGGATCTCGTAGTCGGATACTATACTATTTACTCATTTTAATTCATTATAACATGTATATTCATTTTGTTAATACAAGTCTTCATTAACATAGCGTGGTCCTTTCAGAGAGTTAAAAGTTCATCATAAGCTGACTGCATTCTATATATTTAATTTCAACTCAATAACGTTACAGTATTTTTATCACGTCATATTTCGTTTTCTTAAAAAAATAATAAGCTCGGAAAAAACTTGAAAAAATCGTCACATGGATCTTCGAAGTTTCCGACAATATTATTCACGTTCATAAATCAACTTTGTGCAACTGCGACAAATAAATAAATCTTCGAAATCCAAAAAAAAAGTGGCTGCGGCCTTGGGCAAAAAACACACAATCTGCGGAAGACGCCACCAAAATTTTATGACGCCTGCGAGGCTGCCCCCACAAATCAAACTTGATGTCTTGCCGCCGGTCGAAGAAACGCGTCCTTTTTGCCGCGGTGAATTGAAGGACGAGTCACCGCAAGTGAAGCTCGGTTTGCGTCCGGACAATGTGGAGTATCTTTTGCCTGGGTGTATTTTTTGCGTGGGGTATTGTTTTGCGTGAGTTTATCTTTTGCCTGGGTGTATCTTTTGCCAGGGTGTATCTTATGCGTGGGTGTATCTTTGCCTGGATGGATCTTTCCTGGGTGTATCTTTTGCCTGGGAGTATATTTTGAGGGTGGTATTTTTTTGCGTGAGTGTATCTTTTGCGTGGGTGCATCATTTGCGTGGGTTTATCTTTTGCGCGGGTGTATCTTTTACCTGGGTATATTTTTTGCCTGGGCGTATCTTTTGCGCGGGTGTATCTTTTGCCTGGATGTAGGTATCTTTTAGCGCGGGTATATCTTCTGGTGGGTGTATCAAGCGTAGCCGTATCTTCACGTGGGTTTATCTTCTGGGTGGGCCAATCTTTTGTTGCACGGGTGTATCTTCTGGGTGGGTGTACCAAACGATATCAAACGTGCGTATCTGGGGGCGTAATTGGGTGGGCGTATACGAGGCTGACAAACGCACGTTTTAATGTTTATCTCTCCTAATTATTAGGTTAGATTTCCCAAGTTCATTTAACAATGATTTATTGATGAGCATATTAGGATTTCAGAAGAAGCATGTTGAAAAGTCAAGTTACAAACAAATTAACCAGCTTTCCAACAAAGAAACGTGAGCTATACATATCTTGGCTTCCCATGGCCTCCAATACGCATAATTTGCGATTCAAATTTTGCGGAAACATAAACTTAAAAAATCCAATTAGAATATTTTACCCAACGTAAATATTTGGTTTACGGCAGCCGCTACACCTTTAATATCAACCAAATCATACCTTCCTTCTCCCGTAAACTGAAATGGAATCCAAGAGAGCAGAAATAAAGCATCAGTTGCCGAGAAAATCAAATTATGATGAGCGGCTCGGTCGTAGCTTGAAAAAGTCATGTGTTATCTGAAGGAACCTGCGTCGGAGTCGCTGTCACGTCTAAACAGTTTTATCCCCAAACTCTAGAAGACTTCAGACACATCGTGAATGAAATATGCGACAGAAATTCTCAAAAAAACAAGAGCATTACAATACGAATCAAACTAATGGAAATATATACGCAATTTTTCTATTATTCATCTCAAATGCTCACTTATCTGCACTTGGTATAAATTTAACATAAATAATTCTGCTTCAGAAAGAGAACTCTACTTCCATTTTGTGAATTTGTTTTCCTCATCATTTCGACCATAAAGCCGTCACTGCTCATCTCTGCCGCAATCTTTGTCGCATGCGCAAAAAATTTCAAGTATTCTTCGCGCAGTTGTAGGAAAACTGGAAGCAAATCGATCATGTAAATCAGAAAGAAAATAATAATATCAATTATGCCTGGTAAACCCAGATTGCAGGCCCATGCACACCATTAATTTGCAATTATTATATTGTCATCGACAATAAAAAAAGTAACTATAGGACAATAATAACGTCATCAAGCTGGGACCAGATTGCACATTGGCCTGGCAATAAAATTAATTTAGAATACGTGCTCTTTATTAATGTAATATTTTATACTTTACCTTCCGTTGTGAAGTGTACTGTGGCAACAGTATCATGACCTAATGTTTGATGAGGTTTGAAATTAAACTTTCAATCCTGTTTCTAATACATGTATGTTTTTTCTTATTTTTCAGAATCATCGAATAGGTTCCAAACAGTCCGTGAGTAAACACAATGCAGGCTTCCATTACTTCTCCTAGCAAACATTTTTCCTAGTAGTAACATAGGAAGGCTAGTTAGATCCTGGACTTTGGAGAACAGCTCACAGTACAGTATATATTTAACAGTGTTCGGTTATACGTACTGTATTGTAAGCAATCGGTTTATTAGAATATTTCTAGATTGAAAAGGACAGCAGTTGCTGCTTGCTTTGGCTATGCAATAAATTGGTTTAAATTCTATTACAAGGAATTGTAGTCATAACGGTGTAATTTAAGGACTTAAATTGTATTTGTAACTGTTTTCAAAATATTGTGCTCACGATTTTGCCCTGTGTGCGTTCAACAATCATGTGTATATTCAATGTCTGGCACATTCAATTACTCTGTCTCATTTCCAACTGAAAATACACCTGCGCGTTCCATCCATTTCACCAGAAACAAATATTTTTTTTACTATAACCAGAATATGTCCTCCTTCACAACCATCATTTCACTGTTACACGTAATGATTTATATTCATGCACTGCACTCTTTCATATCACTGCTCCTCGAGATATTTTATTTTTCAAAGAGCACTGATATGAAAGAGTCACTCTTTCACTCTTATCACTTTTTGCTTCTATATACGAGATGATTGATCTTTCTAGGGACAGTGACATGAAAGAGTCGCTTCTTATCACTTTTTGCTTTTAGATCTCACGATCTCATCATCCATGTTTGTGGATTTATATCACTCGATTCTTTTTATTATATTCCAATATTATTTCTTATCCCTCTCTCCATCCCTCTCCATCCCTGTATAACGCTGCCTTCTCCTCCCCGGCTCACCGAGCAGAATCACCGCGATCATTCCTCGAAGCAATCCGTGAGTCGCGAACCCTTGGTAATTCCTTTATTTATCTTTGTCAGAAGATAGTTACTTTATGCTTTGCTTTAGATGAATCTTAGCTTCCGTGCTTTTCCCCTGATTATTTTACATCCCGCATTCTCGTACTCATAATTTAAGAGCTAAAATTAATTAATTTCTATATTAATACCCGCATGATTGTATCGCGGCGCTTCTTGTCTTGTTTAGACGTGACCATTAATGCTTTATTTAAGTTGCTTCCTTTATTTGTTGCTCGCTTTTTCTTATGATATTCTCATCTTCATCACTTACTGCAGCTTTGCAGATCTGCGCTGAGGGCGTTGATGTGAATTCAAATTATTGATTCTAAATGTCTTAGTTTGATTTCAGTGAATAAACCAATATTCTCGAAGGCAATTTTTTACTCTATTATTGCAGTCCGAATTCAGCCATTGAATGCCTTCAAAACGATAGAGCTTTTTCATGATCTTTCCCATACATGATTCATAGTCCACTCTCTCTCGATCTCTTTTTCTCTCTCTCTCTCTCTTTTACACGTCATTTGAATAATAAATAATATTAAATATTAAATACAAAGAATAATCAGAGGACTCGTGTTATAAAAACGGCAGGCATAACACAAACATGATAATGTGAAATCTGTATATAATTGTTCTTAACAAGAGTGCAGCAAGTACCTATTTTTCTACCATCGAGCTCCTTCGTATTAACCTTTCCAATATCCCACGAATTTTACCTTTCCGTTGCATTCAAATTTTCGTTTTGCGTTATGTAGATTAACACTGGCTGCCTATTTTCTTCATTTTGTCATCGCCCTCTCATCTTTTCAGTCCGTTGACTTCATTGTAAGTGACACCATTTACACGTAACCGCTTTTATTAACAAAGATTGCATTTGTTTTCCAAGTAGGCATTTTTTGCATGATCATATCGGCTGCTTACGCTAAAATAATAAAGAAACTCCGAATATTTTCAATTATAATTTGGATAATTTACCCGTTATCAATATTATTATTCTCGAATTAAGGCAAGCTGGAGCTTTTGCTTAATATAGTGAGCAAAAATTCCTCGCTCAAAATCGTGTAAATATCGCATCGAATAATTTCTGAGATAAAAGAATATTGATAACATGCAGCTATCTCATCTAATAACTGATCTAATCGCCAATTTCATGTGTACAGCACGTACTATATTAAATAACGTATATCCCATCTGAGAGTGAAATCCCGTGACATGTAGGCCTGCAGGTCAAAATGACCTGCTAGACCAAAAATTCCCTAAAGTGATTTCTGTAATATTTTCTGCATTTTATTTGATCTCGACTAAAGCTCATCTATTTGCGGTTACCGTCACTATAACGTTACTTTATAGAACTGTCAGCTCTCTGTACCGATTTAATGAATAGGCTTAAGTTAGATTCGAATATAGGCTAAAATTAGACTTGAATATAGGCTGAAATTAGACTCGAATGTAGGCTAAAGTTAGACTCGAATATAGGCTAAAGTTAGACTCGAATATAAGGTAAAATTAGACTGGAATCACGAAAAGATATTTGTTGCCCTAGACTCTAGAAGAGCAGCGCGTTTGCCATCATCCGACAAATGCCGACACGTCTCGTTAATTGCATCGCTTCAGCGGGGAAATTTATGGCTTTACTTCGCCAAGGGACCTCCTGGAAGAACGAAGAGGCCACGAGACCGCGCTTATTTCTTACGCAAATTACTACCAGCATTGCTGTAGCCCATTTGTAATGTGCAATTTGTTTACCTGATGCGACAGTGCTCAAAATATCCTGATCTATGCCAAATTTATTCAAATTCTGTCCCAAACGTGGACTCACGGGCTCGTGCGAGACGTAAATAATTGAATTTGCTGCCCTATGAATGTATTTTAACAATACCACGGATTGATGGAAAATTACAAAATTTCACCGTGCATAGAAGGGCTTGCCAACTATCTAGCATATTTGCCAAACGTTCGATAATAAAAACACACCGAACAAATCAGACGCTCAGCGAGTCTCCATGACTGCTTTAAAATGAGCCAAAGCATACAATTCACGCATTTTCACTGACAATGTTTCAATAGTAAAATTGTTATGAGCCTGATTTATTTCATTTCATTCGTTCTTTGGGTGTTGAATTATAATTTTTATTATTGATCTTTTAACTTTTCTATGGTACGAGTAACCTGATGATCTGTAGACTGAGTATCCTTTGCGTCTAATTAGCTGCCGCTAACTTAAATTTTTAATAACTTTTCTTATAATAACTGTCGTTAGCTAATTTTTTTCGTTTTTAATCAACTCCTTGATGTTGCACCAACGTACAGTCGTGTTTTTTACCTCACAACTAGTAGATGATGTTGCACCAAGGCGTATACCCTTATAGTACCTGCCCATAGTGTCCCTAACTTCACTTTTTTCTCACTACACCTTTCGCACAGCTTCTCCTCCCTACGGAACCTACTTCTTCCGACCAGGTTTGTGGTCACACTTTTCCTTTTCCTTTCTCGTGTTGCTTGAGTTGTTTTATCCATTCTTCTCCATGCCTTGCCTCACGTCTTGCTATTATGTCCGAGTTTATTGCAAGAACTTTATTAAAATCCAAGATGCAAATACTTATATCGAGGTAATACACATCTTCCGAATGCTGCATATTGTAACAAACATTACAATGATTTCAAGCCAACAATTTCATCGGTTTCATATCTTACCATAAACTTTTTTGTTATACAAAATGCAATGCAATATTTATTGGTTGCAATTATTGATTATCTATTAATACAAGGTAATTATCAACAAAATTTATGTCTGCAGGATTGTTTCAAGGTAGATTAATTCTACATCGTGTATGCTGCTTGAACTCTTGATGCTTTCTTAATAGCCCTCATCGCACGATCACACCTCGTTAATGTAACATAAATTATACAAGTTACCCTACCATTAGTTTGCACAGATCATAAATAACCAAAAATTTAGAAGTAAATTAAAAAAAATGCCAAGTAAATTCATTATATTTTTATTGAAAACGTTTCGGAGATCAACTCCATCATTACTTACATATTTCAAGAATTCAATTATAATCGATGGAATGGATAAATTTACACAGAACAGATGGAGATTTAAATCGTCATAGAAACAGACCATCTAACATTAAAAACCTGTCGCTTAACAATCTCAAGCGGATGGGAACTGTAAGCTTTGTTGGGATTGGGTTATCGTTTAAAAATATACATTGATTCCAACATCCTTATGTATGAAGCATCATGGCTGGTAGATCAAATTTGAAAACTTGGACGCAGCGTTTTAGTTGCGCTGAACAGTGCGAAGCGAAAAAGCGCTATGAGTTACTCTAAAGTCTTTTGTGCTTCATAGTTTTGAATCTTTCATAGAATTGAAGTACGTTTGAAACAAAATTTTATTTTGAAGCTAAAATTTAGGCTTGTGAAGATTATCGATCGGACTGCGAGTTAATTGTTTTGCTTTAATCGAAATTGTGATTGAAATGAAGGCTTCACGTTCACGGGCGAGCCATTTATATTTTTATATTCAGGGTTTCACATTTTGAATTGTCATATTTTTTATATTATACTTTTTTGATCAAAGTTTTGATGTTATAGCATAGAGTTTCGGGAACGAGCTTACAATTGCGCTAATCACGGTAAAAATACGATTGCTGCCCGATCGGTCAGTGAAGTCTTCAAGCAAAAACTTTAGGAACCGCATCGCTTGCGTTGTTCTCAAGAAAGCCCATAACTCAGTTCAGAGTGCACTAAAAGTTGAACAAATCGCTCTAAGATCCTCAGTAAATGCTAATTTTGTTTACCTGTTCTACTAAACAAAGAGATTTAGTCAGAATCTGTCATGAATACTGAAAGTTATATTTATTTCATATATAATTATATAATTATTCATTTGCATCTAAATTCCCCCCTCCCATTCAGATAAACACGAAATAATCCGAATCGCATCTAAAAACCGAAGGCGTTTGACAAATATCTGGCTTCCACCTGAAGCATAATTATTTTCTTGATTGATTGAATAACCCTTTTATATACTTTTTATCTGCATTGTTAGAACATCAACCTTATCTACGGCTGGAAAATTATTGTATGCCTCGAATGTATATCACTGCTGATATTATCGTTATTGCCGTATATACCGTCTTTGCGGTAAATTTGTATTGCTCCTACCAGAAGTTATTTGCACAGTTAATTTCTTTTAGTAAACTTTATTTTTGAAATGAGAAGTTCTAAAATCAATGTGAAAACATTACGACGAAACGCGTGTCAAAAACTTTTACTTTTCACATGCAGCTACGTGACAATTTTAATTTTGGTGCCAAATTTGCTGCGACGAGTAACTTGATAAATTTACACAGAACAGATGGAGATTTAAATCGTCATAGAAACAGACCATCTAACATTAAAAACCTGTCGCTTAACAATCTCAAGCGGATGGGAACTGTAAGCTTTGTTGGGATTGGGTTATCGTTTAAAAATATACATTGATTCCAACATCCTTATGTATGAAGCATCATGGCTGGTAGATCAAATTTGAAAACTTGGACGCAGCGTTTTAGTTGCGCTGAACAGTGCGAAGCGAAAAAGCGCTATGAGTTACTCTAAAGTCTTTTGTGCTTCACAGTTTTGAAATCTTACATAGAATTGAAGTACGTTTGAAACAAAATTTTATTTTGAAGCTAAAATTTAGGCTTGTGAAGATTATCGATCGGACTGCGAGTTAATTGTTTTGCTTTAATCGAAATTGTGATTGAAATGAAGGCTTCACGTTCACGGGCGAGCCATTTAAATTTTTATATTCAGGGTTTCACATTTTGAATTGTCATATTTTTTATATTATACTTTTTTGATCAAAGTTTTGATGTTATAGCATAGAGTTTCGGGAACGAGCTTACAATTGCGCTAATCACGGTAAAAATACGATTGCTGCCCGATCGGTCAGTGAAGTCTTCAAGCAAAAACTTTAGGAACCGCATCGCTTGCGTTGTTCTCAAGAAAGCCCATAACTCAGTTCAGAGTGCACTAAAAGTTGAACAAATCGCTCTAAGATCCTCAGTAAATGCTAATTTTGTTTACCTGTTCTACTAAACAAAGAGATTTAGTCAGAATCTGTCATGAATACTGAAAGTTATATTTATTTCATATATAATTATATAATTATTCATTTGCATCTAAATTCCCCCCTCCCATTCAGATGAACACGAAATAATCCGAATCGCATCTAAAAACCGAAGGCGTTTGACAAATGTCTGGCTTCCACCTGAAGCATAATTATTTTCTTGATTGATTGAATAACCCTTTTATATACTTTTTACCTGCATTGTTAGAACATCAACCTTATCTACGGCTGGAAAATTATTGTATGCCTCGAATGTATATCACTGCTGATATTATCGTTATTGCCGTATATACCGTCTTTGCGGTAAATTTGTATTGCTCCTACCAGAAGTTATTTGCACAGTTAATTTCTTTTAGTAAACTTTATTTTTGAAATGAGAAGTTCTAAAATCAATGTGAAAACATTACGACGAAACGCGTGTCAAAAACTTTTACTTTTCACATGCAGCTACGTGACAATTTTAATTTTGGTGCCAAATTTGCTGCGACGAGTAACTTTGTATCATATTCCAAAAAGACGAGTTTTTGTATAAAATTTCAATCTACAATGCTTGGGGCATGGATCATTTGTGTGGAATAATTCGCAGAGCTTGAGTCACGTCATTAATCCCCTATGAGTTTCTTTGGAAACGCATCCAGCATAGATTTTAATAATCACATTTCATTGGAGAAATTATTTAAATGTTTGCCATATTTTGCTATTCTTTCAGATGAAAGTTGGCTGTGAGTTGAGCTGAAGCCTGATTACAATAGCTAATATTAAGCACTAATATAACAATATAAGACAGCTCGTTTATAACAAAAATCAATTCATCTGAGAATCATTGAACTTGCATGACTCCACCTCCAAATAACCTCTCTGCATGAATAACACCACACAGGACGTGAAATTTTGTGTTTCGTCATTATTACAAATTAAAAATTCATTTTTATAAAGATACTGGCCCCAAAAAAGTTAACACAGAATCGGAACCCATTTGTTCTTTTATATATAATATCTTCTTTGTTCGCCAAAAATTTATTGAATATAAAAAATATGCGAAAAATCTACTGCATAAACATTAATTCGTTACTTTTTTTGTTTCCTCAGATCGGCTGGGCGGCGTCTGGAGCACGTCAGGTCAGTAATCAGTCATTCGTAGTAAGTATTTACCTTTTAATACTTAGCGCTCTTTGTAACGCTTTCTTTTTTTTGTCCAACCATAATACAGTATTTGTGTGGCAAGTCTAACCAACAAGTCTGCGCTGCCGTGGTCCATCTTTACCCACACATTAATCTATAAAATTAGTATGGAGGAAGCAGAGATCAATCTTTAGCTGGATGACGCCTAATGCATCCTAACGATGCTGTTTGTGCGCGCTGGTGACCCACGTAGGGAACTTTGTTATCGATGGCAAGGTTTCCTCCTTCCTCTCGAGAAACGAGACGCAGAGTGGAGATAAAGGCACAAAATTCTAAACTTTTTATCAGATCATTTCAAAATACCGAAAAAATTTATTCTGGACACTGGTAACGTTGGTGCACATTTCTTGGTAATTTTTTTTTTGTGGTAATTGTGTAAAATGCAAAACTGGATATAATTTTTTCAATAACGTGCTTCGATTTCAATGATAAACTGAACTAAGTTTTATCCATCCCTGTATTTAGAGCGTACTTCTGTTCTATGCAATGTCATGAGGAGAATAGCCATGGCATCTGCGCAGGCACCGGAGCCCCGACACAATACTGGTGTTAATTCATTCCAGTTAGAATTGAGCAGCAAATGATGGGAATCGTAACTGGATTAGATGCACTATGGCACGATGGCAACGGCGCCATTAGAGCCCTGCTGACTATATTACTCGCGTCCGCCTCGCCTTGACGTAAACAAGCGCCGGCAGTGTCCGCCTCGGAATTTCAGGCGCTCTCGTCAGCGGCTCAAATGAGTTTTTGAGTGTTGCTGCTGCTTGTGCTACAACTCGCGTCTGTTATAGTTAACATTTTGTGTTGGTGTTAGTTTGAGGATAAACATAAGTAACAGTTGCAATTTATTATACGGCATTGTACAGAGCAACTTCATTTACAGTGCAATTGCAAAATTCTTCAATGCTGCAATTGAATACTGCATTCTCATTGTTATTGTACCTTTTTGTTCACGAAAAATCTAATGAATCGAATATGCGGCCAAAATATTCGTTAGAGCCATATATATTTTTTTCATTAATAGTAAGAAACAAATTTTGAGAAAATTGTCTTTTCGGGCTAAAAGGTTTGAAAGGATGTTTTTTAATAGCACTGCGTCTGTGTCCTCGAAACACTAAGCTCAGAATCACATTGAAAAATCTAACAAATAAACAAAAAAGTAATATAATGATGAACCGACTTTGAAATAAACTTACTATGCCATTTCACTAGCGCCGTTTGCCACCATCGTTTAGTTAGATGAGTGGCAACACTATGCGCTAAAGTGGACAATGGCTTCTAAAACGCAGTGTGGCCACACCCTTCTTGCTCACTCTCGCCCTCGCTTTCGTCTGCAAACAACCAACTCAGAGCAACGTATTCACGCCAGTTATATGTTAGCATGGAATGATTCATACCTCAATGATATATCAGAGTGAAGGTATGATATCATATGATCTACGTACAAGAATTATCTTATTTGTATGTAAGCAAAAGGAACTACGCCTGATCTGCTACTGACGTCACGTGGCAGGCGGCGCTAGGCCGATGATATGCAAGAGGGCATCAGCTTTAACAGTAACCTTGGCTGAACAAGTCTTTCTGTGACTGGTAGGTGGTTGTTGGTGATGGGAGGGTGGTTGTTGGTGATGGGAGGGTAGTTGTTGGTGATGGGAGGGTGGTTGTTGGTGATGGAGGGTGGTTGTTGGTGATGGGAGGGTGGTTGTTGGTGATGGGAGGGTGGTTGTTGGTGATGGAGGGTGGTTGTTGGTGATGGGAGGGTGGTTGTTGGTGATGGGAGGGTAGTTGTTGGTGATGGGAGAGTGGTTGTTGGTGATAGGAGGATGGTTTTTGGTGATGGGAGGGTGGTTGTTAGTGATGGGAGGGTGTTGTTTGTGATGAGAGGGTGGCTCTTGATGATGGGAGGGTGGTTGCTGGTGATGGGAGGGTGGTTGTTGGTGATGGGAGGGTGGTTGTTGGTGATAGGAGGGAGGTTTTTGGTGCCAAATGCGCAATTTATGTGATTGGCAATGATTGAAATAAGGGTTGATTTGAATTCAAGGTAATTTGTGGTTTTATGAAAAGTCAGCGGCGGAAACACGTTTTATTACTTTTCGTGTTCGAATGACTTACGACTGGCGACTTTTTTGCTATTCAAGTTGAATACGTTGAGTGGCGTCAGTCGTTGAAGTGGAAGCCTTTGCTCTGTAGAGATTTGCTCAAAGGAACCTTTCATCAAAATGATTGAAAATACACTTTAGTACCCAAAAGTAGGCTACAAAACTTCATATTGATTTGTGATTAATTTTCTTTTATATTATACGTACATAGATGTTAAGAGTATAGCACTGCCAAACGCCCGAAGCATTACCAAACGTCACGCTTCCATCTAATTACGAACAAATTTCATTAGAGTACCTAATCCAAAAATTCCATCAGCAATTTACGAATCATTATCCCAAGGTTGATATGAAAATCTTGCCCGCATTGACATCAGTAAGCAGCCTTTCCAATATTTCTGAAGATATTGCGTTCATTATGAACTAAATTTATCTTAAATGAATTTTAGTCAAGTTAACTCTTGCCGAAGGATATATTTTTTTAATAACGTGAGGTCGGTTGATATAACGTTGCGAAGGCGTTCATGTAACGACCTCATGTCCCTCGGTTGTGCTCCGAAGATGCCGGCAACTTTAAACACAGACTTTCTCCGTTAAGTTGAACCTGCAGCAAATTACCACAGACATTCGCTGCCAGATTGCACCGCTGATGAAAATACCACTGGGATCCCACTAGCGCTTTAACCTCAACGCTGTTCTGTATGAACAATTTCGTACATAGTTAAGATAAGCGAACTAACATTCTTTCAAATATTTTATCTTATGGTTCTCCTAAAAAAATCGGTTACCATTAATGTGAATTTCAAATATGACAGAATGTATGTACTGATCATATATCACTTTTTTGCCAAGCGATTTTTCATTATTTCCAATGATTTGAGCTTCGCTCGATTTTTGAGGAATTTTAATTGGTTAAGTTAGGCAATATAAATATATTTGAAAAAATCTCTTGTTTTCTGTCTTAATGCATGAGGATATTTGGGTCTAACCTTCAATCTAACTTAGTCTGACAATGCTTTTCAAACACTGCGATATTTCGAATGCTATTTAGCAATGTTGAGGCCAATACAGGGCTCATTCAAAACTAATTTGCTCGTCTTAAATTACTTTCAAGCTCTGGCCATGCGCAGTTCGTGAATTTGAACGTTGCCGAATTTGATACGTGATCCCTCATTCACTCCACGCATTCAAGTCTTCTTCCTGTTCAAGTTCCTTAGACCAAACCCTTCTCCGAACCCTTCACCGCCGCCTTCCACATCCATCTCCCTGTTCTGAACACTCCACCGCCGCCTTCCACATCCACTTCGCTGTTCCGAACACTCTACTGCCACCTTCCACATCCACTTCCTTTCGCCGAAAACTCCACCGCTGCCTTCCACATCCACTTCTTAGTTCCGAACCCTCCACCGCCGCCTTCCGCATCCACTTCTCTGTTCCAAACATTCCACCGCCGTCCTTCATAAATAATCATCTCAGAGCGCAGACATCAAAGCTGCTTCGTTTTTGCCGCAATTGCAGCCCGCCGGGATGCCTCCAAATTTAGGAATTCTTGAGTTTCAACGATATTCCGGCGGCGACATTCATGCAGAGTTGTGCATCCGTGGCCTCAATCGCCTGGCATGGCTGAACACCGCCATCGCTCGTCGTTGCTACCGCTACAATCCTAAAGCTTTATTCTTAAAATAGAAACTATTTCTATGACTATTACTTTTAACTATTCTTTGAATAGAACTATGAATTTCTTAAATTCATATTGATTTTGCGTGCCGCATTGCCTTCGTACAGATTGTTGAATTTATTAACTTATAGAAACTAAACTAAGTGGGAAAGAAATTGACTTGGTGCTTGAAAATGGCTTCATTTCGCACTATACGTATTGATACGCTGCTGGATGTTGATGTTAAGACATTACATTACAAGGCGAAGTGCAGCAAATTCTCCTTGTTTGTGCTTCATTGAGCTCCTAAATAATCAGTCTCTTTAATAGACATCAGTAATTTAGCAGCGAAATGTATCATTTAGATTTGTACGAGTTAACAATACGATAGGTATTTTTGAATAAATTCAAAATTTAAAAATTGGTGCATAATGCTTGAGCAATTTTTAAGTCTAAGCAGTTTTGCTCATTTGAATACCTAGTTTCTATTGAAGATCAACGGCATTATTACTGTAGCGACTAGCGTGGCAATGACGGCAGCACTCACTATTATTAATAATTTCATTATAATTTTTATTCTCATTATCTTACAAGTTACTACCTCGTATAGTACAAGTTGTTCTATTATAATGTTTGTATGTATTTTGTACTGTTCTTATTTGTAGTTTTTAATATTATTGCTATTATACCGCGTGATTTATTCTTTACATCAATCTTAAATATATAAGTGAAAACTTTCCTAGTGTACTTCTTAACATGGAAAAGTTCAACGATCTCTTCAATTATACGTTTAGCTGTTGTTCAAATGCTAATGAAGCGAACATTCCCGAATGATCTTTATTTGCAAGAGTTTTCATTATGTTTATGGAGGCAACAGTCTATTTCTATTTACTACGTATGTATCGATAATTTCAAAGTTATTTAAGCAACCACGTTACCGTTAATAGATTGCATGCATTTGACGAGAGATCTCTTTTCTTAATGATTGAAAATCAAGTTTTTCATTATTTTTTATTTCTTTTAGCCACTAAGCAGTTGCATTCTATCAGAAATCATTATTATTCGACTTAGATATTATAATGCAAAGTAATAATTTAATAAACTAGGAGACTGCGGATTTTATAATTCACACATAATCCACAAATTCAGTAATAATTTCGCAGTAATCGTCATCGTTTGCAAAGAAAATAATTTTTTTGGTCCCAAGCACTTTAGAGTTGAGTTAAAACAAGTCGTGATTCTAGGTTCGTTTCTGAAGCGAACTTTACGACGCTGGGGGTATATTTTAGTTGAGGTAGAATTCGTACGAAAGCTCTGAAGAGCCTGGCCCAGTACTGAAATGTTTGCTAGAGCTGCCGTGCGCACGCGTGTCATTAGCGACCGGACCATCGATAAGGAGAGAGTGGTCGCCATTCCTGTTCTTCTTAAAAGCTCTTAACCCGCAACCTCATTCTTGGGTTTCGCCTGTGAAAACGATCTCTGCAGCAGGCGCTTCTTTAAAGACACAGAGATTGCACACTACAACTTTGATTTTTATATTTATTTATTTTATTACCACGTTTTTCTTGACTTCGTTTCGTGTGTGTCAGTCATCAAAAATTCAAACCTTAATTTAGAGTACTTCTAAATATCCTAGTGAGTTGAAATTGGGCATGCAAGTTTATGCTGCCTAACAATTCATGATTTGATCATCAGAAATAAGAATTAAAATTTTTTTATTTTAATTCCAAAAAGTAAAAAAACACTAATTGTGACTAAAAACACTAAAAGTTTGAAATTGAGTTTTTTCTCGAACATCCACACTTGCCAACCTTGGAAATTGATTTGATTGCTAAAATTGCTAACTAAAAAGTAGAAAATAAATAAATATAAAAAATATTTTTAAAAACCACGTTTTTCTGGTTTTTACAAAACTAAAAATAGTGAAATAAAACAAATAAAAAATTCTTTTAAAAAACACGTTTTCTTAACGGACAAAATAGGAAAACATTTACTCCTACATAACATTACATAACATTTTACATAACTTAAATGTTATGTAAGAGTAAATGTTTTTCTTTTTTGTCCATTAAGAAAACGTGGTTGTTAAAAGTATTTTTTATTTGTTCTATTTATTTCTGTTTTTTTCTTTTATTTATTTTTTTTTCATTCGACAGTGTGTCTCTAAATGAAAAATTGCGTCCAGCTGGTAATTTATTAATTTCATTATTTATTTCCCATTCAATTACGTTTTATTTCCCATTTAATTACCTCAAATGTCATGAAAATTCTGTGCACAAATTTTGATCATTTGGGTTGGGCAAATAATTTATGCATGTGTTTTTGCCGCGGTGTTACCAATAATTAAATTACACTTTCAAATACCAGCTTATTTAAGTCATATTTTTAATTTTTTCGCGGAAATTTCTGACGAATATATTAGTTTAAAATTATAAATTGTGTTTTGAATTTCAACAAGGAATTTCGTTATCGGTGAAATAATTCACAATCAATTAGTAATTCATCATAGCGCTCACTCCGCATTCGAGCTTCAAAAAAACATCCTCTATTATAGTCTGGAATACATCTATAATATAGTTTAGTATTACATAGACACCATCTAGTATAGTCTTAATAAAATTGATACACAACGAATTAGAGTTAAATTTTTTTATTAAATAACGCTGAACTTTGCAGGGTCTGGACAAGCTGTACGGTTGCTCCCCCTCCGATGTTGACAAATATTCCCGCATCGTTTTCCCAGTGTGTTTCGTCTGCTTCAACCTCATGTACTGGATCATTTACCTTCACATCTCCGACGAATCCAACGAGAACCTTACCCTCCACACTTAAGGATAACTACTGTGCTCCATATATAGGAAATCTACTTGATATACATTACTTTAGTGATGTTTTTGATAGTATTATACAGCGCTAAAGTTTCTACTTATTGTTTAATAATTGATGTGCATGTTGTGTTTCGTTCCTGATAGTTAAAAATGTTTTTTTTTACTCTGTACATTACTGTTTAAATGTCGAGAAAGGCATTCGTTGTTCCGCAACATCGATCGTTACGCGGCCTTCAATTCAATAAATCTTGTAGATCAAATTAATGAGGTTATGTTTTCTTCACATGCGGTGACATGTTCGTCATTCCAACAGAAAGTTATTTATATGAAATACTACACTCAGTTTTAAGACTATTTTAATAACTGATCTGCTCGGCAAAGCTCTTTATGAATAAATCTGAAAATTAACATGCGAAAAATTCGCTTACGTAAAACTATCTTAGCTGAGAATACCTTCCATTTTTGCAACAAAAATTTGACAAATTGCAATGAATTCATTATTTTCAAATGGTAGCGCAACGGCCTGTATATGCCTGCCTGTTCATATAGCTGTGAAAAGATATCCGATTCTCAATAGCCTTGCATGAAGGCTTTCCATACTAATTTGTTTACTTCCAACATAGTTTTCAAGTGCCGAAGACAGACTTTGAAATATCAAAGCGATAGAAAATGAATACCAGCAATTAATTTCATTTTTTGTCTTAAAAGTGCATTGCTTGGATTGCAAAAAATATAATTTAAAATAAGCTATTGTGAAAGTCTGAAACTTGCAAAGAGCGATGAAAATCTTGGAAAATTCTCACGCATTATTCCAAATGTACAACGCAACTTTTACTATCATAACACGATCTCTTCTAGTTTACATAAACCAATTCTGAAGTCTTATTACGATACTACAAAGGTTACGAAATCGAATCAGATATTAAAACAAATTTAACCATTCTAAATCCATCCATGGATGTCTAATGGACCCCATCTGAGCTCATCTACTTATAGTTTGCATTGTAGCATAAATTCCCGGTAAATATCCTGCGCAAGAAGTAAATTTAGTATCTACAGACTCCACAATGACCAAGTTGCTGCTCAAGACATGATAACTGCACCCTTTCTCTTGCACCTTCCATAGTGTTGAAAACTCTATCACTCCCCGCAAGGGTGATGTTGATATAATGGTCCCTGCGTCGACAAGCAACTTGACGAACATTGACCATTTGTTATCGCAAATGACCTAAAACGAAAGTGCATTTCGTAAACTTTTCAAACAAAAATTTTATACAATTAAATTGATGAAAATATCACGTTTGAATATAACAGGTTTTGAATCTATTATTCCGACAAATGTCATCATATGTAATCGCTCTCAGTATTGAAAATAAGTAGAGTCAGAGGTGTACTCGTACAAATAAATCTGATGCTCATCCCTTAATAGTTCAGTCATTGAGACGTTTATACAAGCAACACATGTATAATGTCTTTCATAAAAAACTTCACAAAATGAAATTGTACATCTTTTATATCTTTATAAGCATTACCTGTGTCCATGTTGAGCGAACGTAGTCGCTAAATCGTGAAATACTTTTTGATAGAGAACATAGGGCCCGCGCTGTTCGAAGAGTCAAGCCCTTGCGCCCTCACTTCCATTGTGATACTCTGGAAGGCATATTAAACTAAACTGTTTTGTATTAGGTTAAGTCACGACAATGAGGTTGAGATTAATCTTAAGGCAAGCTAATACTGAGAATATATGCATCGTTATACCGGACAGCATCAACTAATGTTGAGTAAAACGTGGACTTAAACCAGTGAAGTGACACTGTTAATGAAACTCCAGTGTTGATATAAAGGGAGTATGCATGACTTAGCAACTTATGTTGTACTGTTTGCAAGGCCATGACATTGGACCTCCTTAAAGTGTTACTAATGTTTTAAGGTTCATTGCTATCATACTCAAGTGGCTGCTGCAAGTATAAATTTAAGAGTGCAGCAATCTTCCGATCATAGTGCGATCATATCTTTGCTTTTATGCGTGCATCCTTTAGAATCGAATGGGTTTTGTGTTCTTGACAACGCGTGATCCGAAAAAAACTGTGACCCAGGATTGCGATTACCACTTCAGCCTCACGGATATTCTCGTTTCCACTTCCCCGTCTGCCGCCTCATCGCTTTTCTCAAACATCAAACTTCAAGGACTAAAAACTTGAAAAAACTCGTTCTGTTAATGCGGCATGGGATCCTCGGCATCGCTGTCAACGTGGACAAGTTATTCAATTGCCTTGACCCGCATCGATGTAAAAATTTCATCGCAAGGATTTATATGTCCACGTTTCAGTGTACTGGAATTTCTGTTCCTATTTTAATTTCTTATTGTCGAAGTCTTCATTTGTGCATACATATACCTGGAATACATTAATAGCTCCTAGCCACTCAATGTTTTGAAATCCCTTTACCTATGCTTTAAAAAAAATTATTATCCATGGTATAATTAATTGGCAATAGAGAACTCACACTACGTTCCAATATGCCTTCGAGGTTCTCTGTATGCATTTTCTTGTGTCCTCGTGACTATTTTAATCTAAACAATTTTCATTTTATTCTAAACAATTTTCTGATTTTACGTGAAAATGAAGTTGCTGGCTCAAAACCTTAATCTAGATTGCAGCCATCTAAGGCCTTCACTAAAGCTCTGTGAAAATCACACCTGATATCGCCACAATGATGGCAGGACATTGATGTCCTAACCTCTCGGTAGAGAAGTGCTACAACCATGACAGGCTACGTGTATAAACAACTCCGGTCTGCCTTAAGGTGTGCATCTAAAACTTCTGATCCATTAGTCCATTACTAGTCTCTACTCGTACTTGATTAATTGCGCTCAATGATCCATAGATTCAACTCATTCTTGGTTTATTCTGCTCAATGATCCATAGTTTCAAGACAAGCTTGATTTAATCTGCTCAATGATCCCCAGCCCCTAACTCATCCTCGATTTAATGCGCTAAATGATTGCTGGTTTCGACAGATGATCGATTCCTTTCTAGCTCTGCTAAATCCGGTTATCAGTTTGTGAAGCATTTTTGTCGCTTGCTCTTTTCGGAATTTTATGAGTTGAATTTCTTCTTTAATAGTTGACTAAAATTCAATTATTCAGCTAGTGGTTTCTCACGACAACGTATTTCGCTTTTTCTTCTCTTTTAACATGCAGAATTTCGATCTGAACTCTACCTTGCTCTGAATTATTCCGTTCTAATCTGCATCGTTGTCCTCCTCCCGGGGTGTCTGGAAGCAATCAGTTCAGTCTCATATTTCTGGTGAAGCCTCAAGTGTGTTACTCAGGCAGTGACACTGTCAAACTTAGAGGCTAAGTTCGGATTATACGCGGTTACCTACCATATTGATGCACATATTGCCGGTAATACTGAACAACTCGGAATGGTCTAGCACTCAGCCCGCACTTATAATAAAAGCTGTGAATTTCATTTAATTTGTGCGCACGTTAGTTTTGGAACTGTGAACAAAAATCGTAATGGAACATGTTATTCTTTTCTGCAATTGATTTTCTTTCTTCAATTCTATATACTGCAATATTCTGCCACCCACAAGCGACACTACTTAACTATGTCAGTGTCATCGGCAATATACTGTAAATAGCTTTTAGATACAACAATTACTTAGTAGAAGTTATTTTCTGCATGATTAAGTATTAAGTTTTCTCGGAGAAATAAAACTCTATTCATGTACGTGTTAGCTACCAGAAAGAATTTTTTTGATTCGTTTAACCGTGTAGACGCGGGGGACTCCGAATGATAAATGCTGTTACCGTTCCGTTGATGTACTTCATTGCTCAAGTTTAAGCTACTCTTTAGTAGATGAGCACTGTCCTCTTAAAGATGCACTCGTGATAATGAAACAAAAGCTCGCTTATCAAGGTTATCTTCTACGTATAGGATTTGCCAAATCTTCTTCGAAGAATATACAGACGATAGATAACGTTATTAGATTCAACCAATCCCTGCACTTCCGATGCACACGAATGGCGCCTCCGATGATAAAAAAGATTAGTATTTTTCGTGCTA